AATTCAGAAGCCACATATTCTATCTTCGTGTTTCTGAATTTTAATATCGCATTGATTATTAAAGTTCTTTTTCGGGGTTCAATCCCTATTGGATTCTGTAAATGTAACCAATACCTTGTACCAACCAAAACACCTGTAACGTTTTGTAATATTTTTACTCGTGTATAGCGCATAGCGTGTATACTTGAAAGTAATCCGCTTTTTTGTTTATATCATGCCATTTTCTATTTGCCATATTTCGTTTCTCACTTTGATGCATCGATCAAAGAGATTCATGACTTAAAAATTTTGTTTAAATTATTCAAGATGCGTTGCAACAGAAGGATATCCTGTATTGTATATACATTAAAACATCTAATTTCATTTTCGCGATTTTTTTTTTCTTTTCTTCGCGACATGTGTTACATTCACAAAAGGAACACTTTAGGAATAGTGACCGATTTATCAGAAGTAGAATTTGTAAGATTATAAATAAAACACGTGTATGTAAAGTGATAAGTTATATGATAGGATTAGATGTGTTGAGACAACAATCATATTCATGTGTGTAGAGCTATGTTGTTAAGCATTTCAAAGAGTTCATTGTTTATAGAATGAAAGAATGTCCATGTATATGTTTATCATATTGAATGCAACTATGGAAATATATATCTAGTATCAGATCTGTGGTACATTAGTAGTGTATGGGACGGTTGGCAGATACACTAAGATGATCTCTCTGTTCAGTTTAAATGTGTAACTGCATTATAATGGTGAATGCCCAAAGCATATATTTTTCATATCGTATCATACTGAGATTGGATTCTTTGTTTGCATAAGTTTGCCCTTTATAATGCTAACTGTCAAATGCATATATATGTTAATATGATATCATACCTGGATTGGATACTTGTGCATATAGGGATGCATATGTTGAAGCGAAATGTATATAAATGTTTCATATGATACCATACCGAGATTGGATTTTTGTGCATGAGTCTGCACATCATATTGGTTAATATCCGATGCAGATATATTACATTTTATATTATACTGAGACCGGAATTTTGTGCTAAAGCTGCACATTATAATGGCGCATGTCCATCGCATATACCGTACGTTTCATGTAATTTCGTACTGAGATTGGATTTGTGTGACTAAGTCTGCATATCATAATGGTGAATGTAAATAATGGTGAATATTTGTAAAGCGCTTAGAGACATTTGTATTAAGCGCTATATAAAAATTAAATATTATTATTATTATTATTATTAATGTCCACTGTATATACTGTACATTTCATATGATATAATGAGATTGGATTTTTGTGCATAAGTATGCATTATTATAATGGTAAATTGCAATTGAATATGAATTTCGTATGAAATCATATCTCTATGTTGAATTAAGATTCTTGTTTGCTTAAGTCTGTACATCATAATGGTGAGTATCCATTGCATAAATATTACATATGATATACTGAGATTGGATTTTTGTGCATGAGACTGCCCATCATAATGGTAAATGTCCATTGTATATATATATATATATATATGTCATGTAATTTCATACTGAGAATGGAATTTGTGTGCAAAGGTCCGCACATCCTAATGGTGATAGTCCAATGTACATACATGTTTCATATGATATCATACTGAGATTGGATATTCGTGTATAAATCTGCACGTCAGAATGGTGAATGTCCATTGCATATAAACTATGTTTTAAATCATACTGAGATTGGATTTTTGTGCTTGAGTTTCCACATTCTTATGGTGAATGTCCATTGTATATATTTATATGTCATGTAATTTCATACTGAAATAGGATTTGTGTTCAAAGGTCCGCACATCCTAATGGTGATAGTCCAATGTACATACATGTTTCATATGATATCATACTAAGATGGGATTTTCGTGCACAAGTCTGCACATCATAAATCATTGGATATTATTGCAATGACGAATATCGTCATTGCCTTGTTTTCGTTCACATTCTTCTTATTAATATTCTTGGTTCTTCTTCTTCTTCTTGTCGTCCGGAATCCCATTCGCTTTGCACGTAGTGCTTGTTATTCCTATCTAGGTCCTTTTCTCTTGCTCGATTCCTTTCAAACTTCGTAGGCGTAATCTCTGATATCCAATCTAGGTCACCTACTTTTCGTTTTCTGAAATCACTCATGCGTAAACGTCCAGGCGCCATTTTGTCCGTTTCTGGTCCATTTTAAGGCCTTTCTATCTTCCTTCCTATCTCCACTATCCTAGATCCTACAAACTTCTAACAAATTCCTCTAGATAGTCTAAGAGATGTTCTTTCATCTGCGATGTATAACCTGACCTTCAAAATGCCATCTTCATACTCAAAATTCAAACCTGAAACCGACTCCGTCAAAAATCTCTCAAATTCTTGAAAAATGGACCCCTAAAAAATCTAAAACTGCCATAACTTTCTCATATAAATTCCGTTTTGTATTTAAATCTCACAGTATCCTTATCTCATAATTGCACATAGCCATGCCAAATTTCACGCTCCAGTGGCTTTGCACAACATAAATAGCGCCCTCTAAAGTTCTGGGAATTGGCTTTCTCTCTGTGGCCGTATCTCCATAATGGCTTGGCAAACCCGTACCCTTTTTTTGGATTTAGATACTTGAAGATATGCCCTTTCCAGGCATATACAAAATTATATACCCTATCACTGACCAAATTTGAGAAAATTGCCCTCCAAATTCGCCATTTTCAAGAAAATTGAGTAATAACCTCAACTTGCTCTAAACCGGCGATCTTTATACCTACATCAATGAAACTTGGCAGACACATGTATCCATATACGTGACAACTGTCTGCTAAGTTTAGTAAATTGTAATGCCCTCTTCGCCAAGTTATTGCCAAAAATGATGAATTTACTATGCTTTACGTAATAGCGCGTTTGATGCGTGCAGTACGTTTTGCGCAGATGACAATGACAATGGTTTCAAACTGACGGCACTGAAGTGCCCTTTCGAATAATACCAAGTATGGTATATGTTCACGCAGAAAATTGTGAGTAAATCGCATTTGAACAAGGGTCACTATACGAATTCCGCCGAGTTTCCGCCCTATTATAACACGTTTCGGCCATGACGTCATTTTTTAAGACTGTTATTCGGTTGTGTTAGTACGGGCGGCCGTTCGTGCCAAAGCACGCGTCGCAACATCTTCATCATGCACCAAGTCCCATTGGTTTTGCACGCAGTGCTTGCGAGCCCTTTCTAGATCCCTTCCTCTACTCCAATTCCCTTCAAAATTCGTAGGCGTAGTCTCTAGCATTCCTTCAAGGTCACTAAATTCTTCGTTTTCCGAAAACCTTCATGCGTGACCGTCCAGGCACCATTTTTTCCGTTTCGGGCCGTTTTGGTGACCTTTCTTTCGCCCTAACTATCTCCACTATCACAGAAGCTACAGACTTCTTACATATCGCTCTGGATAGTCCGAGAGTAGTTCCTTCGTTTGGCACGTAGAAACATGGCGTCATTGCACGCACATCGTTGTGACACGATTGCATTTCTAGTATTCTTCTTTGCAGAAAATCGCATTAGTTTTGCACGTAGTGTTTGTTATTCCTAGTTAGGTGCTTTCCTCATGTCCATTTCCGTTCAAATTTCATAGGCATAGTCTCTAGCATCTCATCAAGGTCACCTACTTTTTCGATTTTCGAAATCACTCATGCATAACCATCCAGGCGCCATTTTGTCCGTTTCTGGTCCATTTTAAGGCCTTTCTTTCTTCCCTCCTATCTCCACTATCCTAGATCCTACAAACTTCTAATAAATTCCTCTAGATAGTCTAAGAGATGTTCTTTCATCTGCGACAAATAACCTACCCTTCAAAATGCCATCTTCGTACTCAAAATTCAAATCCGAAACCGACTCCATCAAAAATCTCTCAAATTCCTGAAAAATTGACCCCTATAAATCTAAAACTGCAATAACTTTCTCATATAAATTCCGTTTTGTTTTTAAATCTCATCGTATCCTTATCTTACAATTGCGCATAGCCATGCCTAATTTCACGCTGCAATAACTATGCAAAACTATAGCGCCCTCTAAAGTTCTGGGACTTGGCTTTCTTTCTGTGGCCGTATCTCCATCATGGCTTGGCAAACCCGTACCCTTTTTTGGATTTAGATACTTGAAGATATGCCCTTTCCAGCCATATACGAAATTATATACCCTATTATTGTCCAAATTTGAGAAAATTGCCCTCCAAATATGCAGTTTTCAAGAAAATTGCGAAATAACTTCAACTTGCTCTAAAATTACGATCCTTAGACCTACAACAATGAAACTTGGCAGACACATGTATCAATATACATGTCAATTGTCCGTAAAGTTGTGTACATTTTAATAACGTCAGCGCAAAGTTATCGCTAAAAATGATGAATTTACTATGCTTAAGTCGGGTCAACTGCCCGAGCTGTGATGGCCTTCCACACATTCCTGTCCAGCATGGCTGCTTTAACCTCTGACAGTTCAAGTCCCGTATCCTTCTTGAGTAGGTCTGTCTAGGTAAAATGAGGTCTTCCAGGTTTCTTCTTCCCGTGTTTAGGTTTCCAGAGTAGAAGCTGAGATAATGGTTCATTGGTGTTCCTACAGCTGTGGCCTGCAAAACGTAGTCTTCTTTCCCTGATCTTTTCTGATACTTTTGGTAGATTCCCGTACAGCTCCTTATTTGTCATATGCTGACTCCAGAGCACGTTGAATGCTGTCCTAAGAAGTCTGGTGTAGCAACCATCTAATTCTTTTGCCAACTTTGTTGTAACTGTCCATGCTTCGCAGCCGTATAGCAGCACAGATTCAACTGTAGCAACAAACAAACGTTGTTTGAACTGCCTGTGAAGAGAAGATTTCCAGATTCTTCCAAGCTTACTAAACGCTCTCCATGCTGCTGCCTTACGAGCTTTCACATCTTCTGTACTGACCATCAGTGCTCCCAGGTACTTGAAATCAGGGACATTCTCCAACTGAATTTCATCATTAGTTTTTATAGTGATGATCTCTCTGTGATTGAATGACATATGAACTTGGTTTTGCCTGAATTCATCCGGAGCCCGACCTTGCCTACCGATGTCTCCACACTGCTCAGGAGTTTCTGGGCTTGCTCTAGTTCATTAGATAGCAGGGCTATGTCATCGGCAAAATCTAGGTCTGTTATGATTTCCGGACCAACTCTCCTACTTCTCCTTCTTTCCAGTTGGAATCCAAGTTCCTCTTCATGGCCGTCTATGGCTGTTCGCAAGGCATAATCGAGGACTATTACACATAGGTAAGGTGCAAGTGTGTCACCTTGAAGCACACCAGCCATGATTTCAAAGAGGTCAGTCTCTCCATCAGGTGATATTACTTTTGCTTTGGTGTCTTCGTACATCTTGCCAATAGCATTTACCAGTTGTTCCGGTATGCCATATGCAGTAAGGATCTTCAACATCTTGCCTCTGTGGATGGTGTCGAAGGCTTTGCGAAAGTCAATAAATGTGATGATAACCGGGAGTTGATTTTCTTTTACTCCTTCTATAAGCCTGCAAAGTGCCAAAATATGTCCCACTGTGGTCCTTCCAACTCTGAATCCATTTTGGTTGGTTCTCAGGTGACTATCAAGTACAGGTCTGATCCTGTTCAAAATCAATCTATTGAAAGTTTTGGCGACGATGGAGCTTAGACTGATTCCTCGATAATTTCCTCCTTGGCTCAGGTCTCCAGACTTTGGTATTGGTACGATGTTCAGTATGGACCATTGGTGAGGCTTTTCTTCATTGATCACAGCGTTGTTGCAGAAACTCAGAATGATTTCATCAAGGTCACATCTTTTTAGAACCTCTGGTGGTATGCCATCTTCCCCAAAGCTCTTCCCTTCTACTAGTGAATTTATTGCCTTTGAATATTCTTTCAGATCAAATGGCCCTGTCTTGATGTTCAGACTCTCTAGTATAGGCAGAATTTCTTCATCCTCATCATCTATGTCAGGAGGGCTTTCAAGAAGATTCTTGAAGTGGTTGAACCAGTTTGTGACCCTGTCTTCCTGTGTGTCTCCTTTTAACTGCCCTTTCGGGGATGCTTTCCTTCCAGTTATGTCATTAATGAGTCTCCAGCTCTGCCCATGTTTACTGTTGGCATGCGCTCTCTCCACATCTTTTAGTTTACTTTCAAGATCTTCTTCTATCACTACATTGTATGCTTCCTCAAGGTTCTGCTTGGCTTGCTTGTAGATCTGTCGATTTTCATCAGTTGTATCTTTCTGGTACTCCATGTAGGCTTTATTGATTTTATTTCTAGCACTAATTACACGTGTATCGTTGGGAAAATGCAACTTTCTTGCCTTCTTTTTCATTGGGATAACTTTCTCAGTAGCCTCCTTATGCGCTGTTATGAATCGCTCATACCTCTCGGTGGCTGATTCTTCCTCCTTCTCTAGGGGCTGGAACCTATTGCGGACTTCAATGCTGTATAGCTTCTGTAGGTGGTTGTCAGTGCTGAGAAGTTTCCAATCGTGCTGTTTTCCTTTTGCCAAGGATTTGCTCTTTCGAAGGCTTAAACGGACTCTTGCAGATACTATTCTATGGTCGGATCCTACACTGGCAAAAGTATTATATGCCTCAGCATTATTCAAGCTGTTCCTCCACTTTTTCCTTATTAGTATATAATCCAGATGGCATTTACTTCCACCTGGGCTAATATAGGTCCACAATTTTCCTTTCTTCTTACAGTACTGACCACTTGCTATAACTAGGTTCTTTTCAACTGCCATGTCCACTACGTACTTTCCATTTCTGTTGGTTGTTTCGTGGTAAGTATATTTAGCATCCTCAGGTCCAATTCTGGCATTGAAGTCTCCAACCACAAGAAGAACATTGTGTGCTGGAATGGAGTCAATTGCTCTTCTTAAATTGTCATAGTGTCCTTCAATGATATCCTCGTTCGCTACGTTGGTTGGGCAGTAGGTTGTAATGACTGTAGTTGCAGGGTTTCCTTGAAAGTTTGCGACGATTATTCGGTCAGAATGTGATCTCATGCTAGCTAGGGAGTCATATGCACTGGGACTTAGTAGTAATCCAACACCTCCTATTGCAGCTCCGACTGAACTTCTGTTTGCAGATGATGTTATAAGCATGTTGCTTAGAACTTTCTCATATCTGATAGGATCATTATGTACTATTCGATGTTCTTGTACTCCCAAAATATCAATGTTCTGCGCTGTTAAATTGGTTGATAGCTCTTCTCTATTTCTTTGCTCCCTAATAGTTCTCACATTCATAGTTGATAAAATTACTGTCTTTCTACATCTTAAAAATGGTCGTCCTTTACAGACACCGTCATCAGTCTTACCCCTTCCATAAGGCTTTGAGGGCAAGCCGTCATGAGATTCTAAGGAATCGATGCCTGATCCAGGACATGTTGTGTTAGGGACTTTAACCCTAGTGTTGTTAGGTTGTGCCATCATAGTTTTTCATCTGCTTATAATATCTGTGGTTGCAACTCCTACAGTATGGTTTTGATCTAAAAGCTGTCATGAGTTTTCCTTCTCTATTGACATTGTGAATGAATTCACTTATAAAGCAAGAGGAGAACACTTGCTGGTTTCACGCTAGGGTTTTCCTTCCCAGACTCATCCCCCGTCGGTTTCCCCAGGCCACAAAGCGGACCCGGGTTATGCAGCCGGCACCAGCGTGGAGGTGGGAGTTTGAGTTGCTAGTAGAGAGGCGATTATGGACTCATGGGCTTAGATGTTAGTTGCCAGAGTACATACGGCAGCAGAGAGGTAAAATGAAAGGTAGGGTATAGAAGAGGAAAGATGATAGCTTACCCCTTACAAAAATGTACCATGTAAAAACCATGGTTTCAGTACCATGGTTACCATGGTTCTCATGGTGGATGGTAATTTGGACATAGAACCATGGTAACCATGGTACTGAAAACCATGGTAACACCGAAGTATGATAACCATGGTTCAGTGTTACCAAGGTGTTCGGTACCATGGTTACCATGGTTCTTGGTACCATGACCATGGTTCTCGGTACCATGGTTACCATGGTTCTCGGTACCATGACCATGGTTTTCGGTACCATGGTTACCATGGTTCTCGGTACCATGACCATGGTTTTCAGTACCATGGTTACCTTCGTTCTCGGTACCATGGTTACCATGGTTCTTGGTACCATGGTTACCATGGTTCTCCCATACCTTTCGTTACCATTGTTCTCCTGTACCTAGGTTACCATGGTACTTGTACTATAATGTTACTGCACTTTCCCAGTCGCCTTTCCATTCTGCATGTAGCTTAATAAAAAGAAAGCATTGATTACACTGCATGATTGATTTTTTGTTATCATTTACAAATCTACTACCTAAATTAAGCACTTTCAGCACAGTATTCCTTATAATATCTGCCAGCCCTTGATCATTTTACTTTGAAAGAACATGCTGGTCTAGCTGCAAAGTACACAAAAATGACAGGAGCTGGCATGAAGTCCACTTTCAGCACAATTATCCATTTTCTCAAGTTCAGCCACTACTCTTGCAAACATGATCTTTTAACAAAAGACATCACAATAATGTTGATCATTATTGTCAAATGATCATATGACGTATCAAACATCAAACAATGGAAACAATATGTTTACTTTTATAAAGGGCGTTTATTCAAACGAGCTAAAATATAGCTCGCGTAAAATATATAAAACAATTTACAGTCGAAAACTGAAGTCTATTTATATAGCGAAAGACTGCCGCTTGTTACATTGCATATGACACTAAACACTTTCAGCACACAGCAATATTATAAGTAAATTGGTTAGTCTATTTCTATAGCGAAAGACTGCCGCTCATATTCAATAGTACAATTTACAAACTGTCCTTCCAGCGGAGGTGCGAGATTCGTCGACGATGTCGTACTCGATTTTGGTTGAAGAAACAATTGGTAGCTAGGCCTACTTGCTATAATAGATCATAGATGACGTCGGTAATCATAATACAGTTCAAAAATGAATGATGAATAAAAGCCAAGCGTCTGCAATGTCGATCGGATGCGAAGTCCATGTATGGCGATGGTGAAACTTGGTGTAGAGTTCCGACGTCGACGGTGATCGAAGACAGATCGAAAGTCGATAAATTCATCATTAGCCGGAGTCAGGATCAGACTTGCAAACGACGAAACGCAAATCGTAGAGACGAAGAAGGTAAAGAGGAGGTTCTTACCTTCAATCAAAGTTCGACGTCGATGGTGTTCAAAGATAGAACAAAAGTCGATGTTGCCAACGTCCAAATTCATTATTAGAGTTCGCAACAAACTTCAAGTTCAAACGCCAAAACGGAGGTTAACGACGAAGAAATGGTGATCATGGTGGCGTTGATGTTTTGGTCAAGATGATGATAAAGAACGACGTCGATATGGAAACTACTCATTTGTCATGTTGCGTATAGATCTATATCTGTAATTAAAAAAAAGACAATTTTGAATTAAATACAAAAAACAAATATAAATATCAACAACTGTCAACATGAAAACACACATGCAGTCACAGAGCAGAGGCAGACATGACATCGATTAGCTTAATTCGTTAATTTGCTGGATTTTTATGCAGTATTCTAATTTATTTTCTAAAAAGAATAAAACGTTCAATCCTTCAAACAATATGACACTTTATACTAACAGTAGAGTTAATGACAATGTGTATGTAAATGGATAAACTTTGCTTTGAAAGTTTGAATGATATGCCCCATAAACCCGTCAAGATACTACAACAAATTACGTACATGGGATCATACATGTTCAGTCTTAACTGTTATCCTGTCGAAGGTATTTTAAGTCCCAGTTGACATAAATAACTATCTAGACATCGACTGGATCTATGCACAGATTGTAAATAAAGTAGATGATTCTTAAACTTACCCATACTGTTGTAGATTAGCCGGGAAAAACAGAATTCAGCATGATTTTGCAGATCTAAAACACTGAGATGTACACGAGGCATGAAGCTGGACTGTAAACAGTGCACGTACTAGCTATATTGCTGCATGTACACGTACAGCATACACGTACACTGCACTGCATGTACAGCGATCCTCGGCACACAAAATGGTTGCTCCTTGGCTGTGTAGCTGTAGCTGCATGCATGCACGTACAGTACACAGCATACACAGCATGTACACAGCACAGCATGTACACAGCATACACGTACACTGCACTGCATGTACAGCGATCCTCGGCACACGCGCTGGTTGTGTGGGGTTGGGGCTTGTAGATAATAGTCTTGACTTGTGCAGACCTTCTTTATGATATTTCAAGCTGTTGCACAATTTCTACATTTAAGCACTATTTGATAAATGGCCAAATGAAAGTTGACTTTTCCACTCCTGTTTTCCTGTAATAAAAAGTCTTAAACTGCATTAATGCATATATTAAATTTTAGTCAGATTCCTAGCAGTATAGCCAGGCCTACTTTTTAATTGTCAGTTTTTCAATTAAACTAAAATCTTAGAAAACTAAAGGCCTATGAAATTACATAATTTTAATTACTGGATACACGCGATATAGTTTTTCCCTACAATTCTAATAATAAAATAACAAAATCATAATAATCATGTTTTTTACGATTCTTCTAATTATTTGTTTAACAATTGTTTTTATATGTATTTTTTAATCATAATTGTTCCTAGCTATTTGTTCTTAATGATTCTTAATTTTTTTTATTTTTGTAGTTCTTATATGTTTTGTTATTTGATTTCATGCGTCCGGTAAAATGATTTCATGCGTTCGGTAATTTGTTGTTGTTTTTGTTTTAAAAAATTGCAAACGATTCCTACCGAACGACTCATACCTGCACATTAATTGTATACTAACAAAGGTTATTGTATACTATTATTAGGTATTATTATCTATGTAATACTTATGTAAACATGTATAACCTCCTATAAACATACAACTGCCAATTATGTACCACAATGTACCATGTACAAATTCGGAAGTACCATGGTAAACCATGGTACCACTCATATAACCGTGGTAATACCATGGTTCTTGCATGGTAGTACCATGGTTAGAGACGAGTACCACAGGTACCATAGAGTACCATGGTACAAATTTGGAAGTACCATGGTATACGATGGTACTTGTCATTTAACCATGGTAAAACCATGGTTCTTTGATGGTAGTACCATGGTTAGAGACGAGTACCACAGGTACCATGCTGGTACCATGGTTTTACCATGGTTTTACCATGGTTACCATGGTACTTTTTTATAAGGGACATGCAGAAGGGAGGTGAGGGCATGCAGGGGTGAAATGGAAGGATGAAATGATAGCAAAGCAAGCTAACCGAAGTTGCGCATCTAAAAGCCATTCATTTCGGCTATATCAAGGTATCATTTTAACCCTTTGACCACTAAATCTCTGATTCTCACAGGTTTACATTATGGAATACCTGGTTCCTATAATGAATGGGTTAAACAAGGTCATTTACTTGTCTCAAGGAGTTTCCATTGTATTATATCCAAATTTCAATATAATTTAAGGGGGGATTCTTTTCCACTGTCCATAAAAAGGTAGATACAGTGTAAATGATTTATTAAGGTTATTTATTATTAGGAATAACTTCTCACTTTAGATTACGGGCAAGTATACCCCTCATTTTTTTATTTCTTTTTTGGGGGGGGGGGAGAGGGGAGGGTTGGCCACCTTTTGGACAAGGCAGGCTCCAGCAGATGATACCTGAGTGACCCAATACACAGTATATCCAAGACCAAATATTTATCTTTAAACTTGTCTATTACTTATTTCTCGGGTCACATCAGAGTATCACTCTAAATAGCAATTTTTATCCAAAATTATTATGATAAATAGGATCTCTTTGGTTGGTGTCAATGCTATACATGTACCTATTCATTTTACAACATATTACATGCAGCTACCCAAAACATTACTACTTCTTTAACAATCATCATGACTTGCTGTTTACCGTCCCAATGTCGCCATTGGACGACCCATGTCCCACCAAATCAAGAATCTGTTTTGAAGCCTCGATATTCTGCGTTTCGATGTAGCGCTGGCTAAGGCTCGACGTGTTCTCAAGGTAGTAACGATAGTTAACCATCATACCGCAAGAGGCGGTGAGACCTCGTGGGGACGTGTCACCCAACCAGTTCAAGCGCCACATATTGCTCCGTTCCGAAGATGAAAGTTAGCGACAGGGTTTAGTGCCATTTTACGTCTCTTCTCTACATACAGATACCTTGCACATAACCTCATGAGAGGAGATTGTAGACTCTTGACCAGGCTTTCTGACTTGACCCACTCATTCGTCACAATGACTTTCTTCAGGGTTGACAGCGCCTGTAATGATGTGATGTTTAACGCAGACTTGAATGAGTCTAGCTCCTGAGAAGTGAATAAGCTGGTGTTATGTTCACCTTTGACCTGCTTGTTGATCTGTGAAATGAGCCAGTCCCTGAAACCAGGGATCGGAGAAAGGCTGGAGAAGAGATGCATGCTGGGGAACTCGGACTGTAACTCCTTGACGACACTCTTTATGAGATGGTTCCCATGCTCGATCTACACCCTGAAGACCTTTCTGAGTTGATGTAATAGAGTAAAAGATAGCGGCCTGGGCCTCCTCGGGATTCTCTTCTCCTGATTTGATTCCAACTGCTATGTCATTCTGCTTACGAACTATGGACTGAATACTGGCTGAAATATCTCTTGTGAGGGCGGTGTGTAAGATGACGAGCGGTTCGTTAGGCATGCTGCTGTGTGTAAAAACAAAACACCTCCTGTACGGCCCTACCCGATGCTTGATGTCTGTCCAGTTTCTTACAGGATGTACGGCCTCATATTGACTTATCTTCTCAAGCATGTCACATGATGATGACCACATGACCCTCTCCAGGTTCAGCATACCGGCAGCAAACCAACCAATCAGAAGATCTTATAATGTGTCGTTCAACGCCTTCAATTCAGCTTCGTTTTGGAGTGATTGCTGAGACAATAAGTGATCCAGTAGGTCTGCTCGTAGATCAACAAGGAACTTATATACCCCACCCTGAAGTCGACTGATGTGGGAAAAGAGAGTGGAGTAACCTGGGACGAGGGACTGACGCAGACGCTTCTCGGCCTGGAGAATAGCCGCATCCTCACGACCCACTTGGGATTGCAGTTGACTGGCTTCCGTTAGGATCTTGTCATGTCTCACACCCATTTCTGATGCCACAGCAGACATAAGGTTTGACTTGCCCTCATCGGCTAGCCCCTGGTAATGGTCACAGACTTCTTGGACAGTTGAATCAGGTATCCATGGTGAATGCTGATTCCCTCTCTCAGTTGAGTTTGACATAAGCTGTGGAACTTTAGCTTCTAAGAACTGGGACTGAATTGTCACTGCACACCCATGTCTACTCGAGGATGACATCAGTCGCGCTTTGCAAGCCATGTCTACATTCGTAATCTCTCGATAGACGAGTAGCTTGCCAGGCCGGGAAAGAAGAAATTTCCTCATAGAATTTATTGTAAAACACGATTGGGTCGAAGTCTCCGATCAAGAGAATTTACTATGCATTACGTAATAGCGTGTTAAATGCGTGCAATACATTGCGCGCAAATGACAATGGTGTCAACCTGACCGCAATGAAATGCCCTTTCGAATGATACCAAGTATGGTATATGTTCACACAGAAAATTTAGAGTAAATTGCATTTGAACAAGGGTCACGATACGAATTTCGTCGAGTTTCCGCCCGATTATAACAGTACACTTATCGGCCATGACGTCATTTTTTTTAGACTGCTTTTCGCCCCCTAAAAATCCTTTTTTTTTTCCTTGAAAATTTGCAGTGACATTTCGAGTTGCAATACGCTGGGCACCTGGAAGCCGTACCTTTAAAATTGGTCAAGGGGGTCATTTAAGACGCCATTTTGTCCTAAAAATATGTTTTGCATCACGTGTTTCGATAGGATTATCATAGCAAAAAATTAAGTGGTTTACAATAACCACCATGAAATTCTCTTTACACTTTACAATAATATCAAATACGGCCCATAAAAAGACATAAAGAGAGAGAGAACAAAACAATTTAAATCCTGTCATAATACAGATCCTGTACGTTTTCCGCCCATGCATTACACGCATTGTCCAGTGGCGTAGACAGGTTCGTACACCTGGGGGGGATGACTGGGCTGCCAACGCCAGTGAGGGCGCGAAGCGCCCGAGTGAGGGAGCGAAGCGACCGAGCGGGGGGAGGGTGTGGGAGGGGGGTGTCCGCCCTCCCACGGTAGGGAGCTTTTGCAATTTTGAACTTGAAATCGTGCAATCTGATGCATACTTAATGAGGTAAAATAACACACACAAGCGCGCACGCACACACACACATACTCACGCACACACACACACATTTTTTAAAAAAAATTTTTAAACAATTTTGTTTTATTTCTCCAGATGTGTAATACAAACCATGACATACAATTGAATAAAATAAACGTGTTCAATATTGATGCTTTTACATAAACATAATTAAACACAAACTTATTTGCAGTATAATCACACAAACCTCCATCACACAAACATACTCACCCTCTATCACACAAACATACTCACCCACCCATCCACCCACACATACTCACACACACATACTACGCCTTGAATAAACAGACATACATCGACAAGATCTACACACCGTGGCATACGAATACAGAATGGACTGACACATAGTATTGCATATTGAACCACACTACGTATTTATTTATCTCTGTGAATTTTGCTGATACACCTCTTCAGAAAAAAAAACAATGTCAACTGTGTACACGCAGGTATAGTCTTTGTTGTCTTGATAGGGGTATGTGGTTATGAATGAAAACAGCCTCTGTGGCCATTTGTGAATAGAACACATAAACAACAAACAAATAACGATTAAACTTTGAACAATATGTCTGTTCATTATAAAGCATAATGAATACGTACATACTATGCTTTTTTTTACCTCAAAGAAACAGGCATAGTATCCATAGATGGATATTGGCTGGCGGCTCATTAACATACAGATACAAAAAACATAAACAGTATCACTATGATCCATGGAGTAACAATACTGCTTTGTAAGTTTGTGAAGAAATCGGAACCATAACGGCATTGCATCGTTTCAAATTAGGGCATTATTTACTTCTATTTGGTCTCAGTCTTATAATAGTAATAATAATAATAATAATAATAATAATAATAATAATAATAATAATAATAATAATAATAATAATAATAATAATACAAATAAAAAATAATACTAATACAAATAATAATGCTAATACTAATAGGTTCCTTTTATCTCGCATTTCAAGACAGGGTAAATTCACACTGCGCTTTACATGAAACAAACTTCTTTAAACATTTCAAACTTATGTCCTCATGCATCAATCAACATACTTTAAATGAATACAAAACAAAGTGCATCTTAAATAAATAAAACAAAAATAAATAAATAGTTAACAATACAGAAAAGATGTAGCTGCTGCAAGCTTAACAACAAACTAATGTATACCAGTCAGTCCTGATATCAGTATTAGTGTAACAATAGTCATATAGTGGGAGCATGAAGTTGAACAATTCATGATTATACATAATTATATATGTTTGTTTGAATAATACTTGTTATAAAGATAGTAGTATGGTACTCTCTGTCACGAATTATTATGTATACTGTTGTATCACATTCATTTTCTATTCTGTTTTAGATTGCGCTGATGCATTTTGCACACAATGTATAATGCCTATAACACGAGTGGGCCAGACCACACATGTATTTCAATAAAAACCGACTTGAGAAAATAACGTGTATATAAATATATAAATAAATAAATAAATAAATGCATATAATGTATATATATGTATAAATATCATATACCTGTAATATAATCTGATATAAACTAATAAATAAATAAATAAATATAATACATATCATATATGAGAAGGTATTGCTAGTACTAGGTTCGTGCCTGAAAAGTAGTCTCGATGAAAAGAAAAAAGTTGTTGCTTCATTTCCATACCAAAAGTAACAAAACAGCTTGATTAACAGTTGCTAATCAGATAATAGAGACATGCGGTAAGTTGGTAAACATTCATGGCTCAACAAACAAACATATCGGTCTCTTGTGGTTTCCAAACCACAAGATAACCACAAAATACTTGTAAGATTTTCTTTTTTTACCGTCTGAATTGGCTTTCACCGTGTGAATGCGGCTAATAACAATAAACACAATTACAATAATGATGAGGATTATTATTATCATCATCATAATTATTATTATTATTAATATTATAATTGTTATCATTATTATTATTATTACTATTATTATCATCATTATGACTTATTAAGTAAGCAAATATCATTCCCCAAAACCTGGGGGGGGGGATGATTGTACATGCCATCCCCCCCCCTCCCCACCTTGTGAGGTGGGGGGATGCATCCCCCTCATCCCCCCCCCCCCCCCCCCCGTTGTCTACGCCCCTGGCATTGTCTATGGGGCAAATCGGGTTAACGCTTTTGGCCCCCAGAACGATCTATGTGAGTTAATCGCATTTAAGACACCATATTATACTGTTTATAATTATGTTGGTATATATACGACCGTTAGTGCCAAATCGCCCGTCATTGCACGCATATCGTTGTGCCACGATTGCAGGTCTAGTTGCAATGACGACCTTCGTCATTGCCTTGTTTTCGTTCACATTCTGCCCCATTAATATTCTCCTTTTCCTTATCCTTATCCTTATCGTCAGGAAATCGCATTCGTTTTGCACGTAGTGTTTGTTATTCCTGGTTAGGTGCTTTCCTCGTGTCCTTTTTCTTTCGAATTTCATAGACATAGTTTCTAACATCTCATCCAGGTCTATACATTCTTCGATTTTCGAAATCACTCATGCATAACCGTCCAGGCGCTATTTTGTCCGTTTCTGGTCCATTTTAAGGCCTTTCTTTCTTCCTTCCTCTCTCCACCATCCTAGAACCTACAAACTTCTAACAAATTCCTTTAGATAGTCTAAGATATGTTCTTTCATCTGCGACGTATAACCTGACCTTCAAAATGCCATCTTCGTACTAAAAATTCAAATCTGAAACCAACTCCGTCAAAGACCTTTAAAATTCTTGAGAAAAAAAATGGACCCCTACAAATCTAAAACTTGCAATAACTTTCTTTCATTAATTCCGTTTCGTCTCATCTTCTCGCAGTATCTTTATCTCATAATCACACATAGCTATGCCAAACTTCACGCTCCAATGGCTATGCAAAACATAAATAGCGCCCTCTAAAGTTCTGGGACTTGGCTTTCTTTCTGTGGCCGTATCTCTATTGTGTCTTGGCAATCCCGTACCCTTTTTTGGATTTAGATAACCGATGATATCCCCTTTCCAGCCATATACAAAATTATATACCGTAACACTGACCAAATTTGAGAAAATTGCCCTCCAAATTCGCCATTTTCAAGAAAATTGCGAATAACTTCAACTTGCTTTAAAATTGCGATCATTATACCCACAACAATGAAACTTAGCAGACACATGTATCAATATACGTGACAACTGTCTGCCAAGTTTGGTAAATTTCAATGACGTCAGCGCAAAGTTATCGCTAAAAATGATGAATTTATTATGCATTACGTAATAGCGTGTTAAATGCGTGCAGTACATTGCGCGCAGATGACAATGGTGTCAAACTGACCGCAATGAAGTGCCCTTTCGGATGATACCAAGTATGATATATGTTTACGCACAAAATTGTGAGTTAAACGCATTTTAGACACCATATTATATACTGTTTATAATTATGTTAGTATAGACGACCGTTAGTGCCAGATCGCCCGTCATTGCACGCATATATCGTTGTGCCACGATTGCAGGTCTAGTTTTTTATATGATATCATACTGAGACTGGATTTGTGTGCATACACCTGTAAGTCTGCACATCATAATGGTGAATATCCATTGCATATATATTTCATGCAAATTTATACTGAGATTGGAATCTCGTGCATAAGTCTACACTTCATGATGTTTAATATCAAATGTATACATATATATATGTATGTATATATATATATATATATATATATATATATATAAGTGTGTGTGTGTATGTACGTATGTATGTTTGTGTGTATGTTTGTATGTATGACAATAAGAGCAATTACATTCAGTCAACTTAAAACAGACTCCAAACCTCTTTTTCAAAGTCTAGAAATATCAAATATTTTTAAACTTCATGAACTTCTTGTATCAACATAATTATGTGTATGATATGGTAAACAATGTATTACCACACTCTTAGTCGATTATTGTCAGATGATACAGCTCGGATATGCAACAAGGAAAACAAAAAGTGGTTTACTCTATCAGCCAAAATGTATGAAAACGCAAGAACAATTTTGTATTTCAATTGCAGAAAAAAAGCTGGGGAATGATCTCCCAGATGAAATTTAATTATAAACATCGAGGTTATCTCTTCAGAGACATCTTTTCACCTACCTTCTATGTAAATTACAAGGGCTCAACACCCCCCCCCCCCCTTTCGGTTTTCCTATTATTTTACTTGTTTTCCGATTATTATGTATACACTTGCTTGTTAACGATTACAGCTGACCTTAAATTTTACAGGATGTTTGCATTATACGCACATCTGTATCATTTATTCATTTTTATATATTTTCCCATTTGCTATGTTTTATATATATATATATATATATGTTCTTGAATGCTTTTGTATATGATTGTATGTTTGATGTAAACTTGCATTTTTAGTCTTTGGACTTTTTGACTAGTCTTGAATAAAACCTCATTTGAATTGAATTGAATTGAATTGAATTTTATTTTTATGAATACATCCTTTTCTTTTTATGAACATAGTGATGATTGTATAATTATGTTCAACAATTTCTTATCTTTCATTATAATGCTGTAGCACTTAAACTTTTTTTGCGATTTATTTTAGATATGTAACAAAAGTTACACGATACTGTATTATTAATTGTACATGTAAATACTAAACAAACAAGTTTACATTTATGTATATTAACAATGTAAAAAAGAATCTTGCTAAAAAATGAAACTAGGCTCGACTAGCACTTGTGCTAGCTTCTAGTAGGCCTACGTACTTGTTACCCGAGGGAAGGGGGGGGGATTACATATTAAGATATACGTGGGTGTGCAGCTTTAATGGGTCACTTTTTCACAACCAATCCCTAATCATGTGTCCCATTTTTAACAAAAATATCCCTAAACACGGGTCCGTTTTTCGATGGTGGGGGATTATCCCTTTCTCTCTCTCTCTCTCTCTTTCTCTCTCTTTCTCCCTCTCTCTCGCTCCCTCTCTCTCTATAACACACACACACATACACACACACTCCCTCCCAGTGGTGGATCCAGGAAAAAAAACGTAATTTTTAGCTTTTTAGGGGGGGTGCAAATTTTCAAATTTTCGAGGGCCCCCAAAAAAATGTGCTCACTTCCCCCGCCCCCCCCCCCCCTCCCCCCACTGAGCGACTTTTCGGCCTGCGCGATTTTTAAATTTTTGGGAGCAAAACAAAACAAAACAAACAAAAAAATAGTGCTCACTACAAGCCCCCCCCCCCCCCCCCCCACACTTAGCGACTTTACGGCAGGCGCAATTTTCAAATTTTCGGGAGCAAAAAAAAAAAAAAAAAATGCCCCCCCCCCCCCATGAGAAATCCTGGATCCGCGCCTGCTTCCTCCCTCCCTCTTCACGTGCACTTTCTCAACTCCACATAATTTAGAATGGAAATATACATCCCCAATAAACGAAGAAGTTCCATTAATTTTTTTTTTTTAAATAGGAATACATCGATTTAACTTCGAAATATGGATGGGTTGCAAAATAATAGTCCTACCTAGATCATTATCAATATTCAACCTAACTTTATTCATAGTCTTTCATCTTTGTTGGTTGCCCCATGCGAATTAATTCATCTGTTGTCTAAATACGAGTAATATCCAAAAGTATAATATTGAATAGGCCCATATTACGCGTTGTTAGTTATGGTTAGTAGAATCATATACACGTAACAACTAAATTATTCATATTATACCCCTTGTAAATGATTTCTTTTGTTGTTGATTATGATAGGTGGACTGGTTGAATTGGGACATAATGTTGAATACTGATCTAAGTAGGTTTATTATTTTGCAACCCATTGATGTTTCGATGTTGATTCGATGTATTCCTATATTTGTTTTAATTCAATGGAACTTCTTCGTTTATTGGAGATGTAGCCTATATTTCTATTCTAGATTTAAGTTTTAATTTGTCATATTCTCAAGAAACATTAATTGGGACAAACAATTTTCCCCGTACTTAAAAAATTACAAAACTTGATAGGGGTATCAATAATTTATTTGTTAACTGTATGTTTGCTTGACCTGGAACAACTAGTTGAAGTTAACAGCTTATCGAGAGGTAAAGGTGTATAAATATGAATACATCTGTTAATTAAAATGTTCAAAAGATCTCTTATTAAATCCGTTTCTCAACTGGTACTAAAGTTAACCATCGATTCGTCGAAAAGGCGTAACTGTGTCCACGGGTATCTTCACATACCAAAAATGCAAAGAGATTTTGATTGACAATATTCTTTAAAAAAGCATTTTGCCATCGTCAATGAAATTTCGGAGGATATTTGTAAGTAGAGTATCGTCTAAACTCTGTGTGAATTTCAAACGAATATCACTGAGTTAAAGAGAGAGAGAGAGAGAAAGAGAGAGAGAGAGAGGGAGAATGTGGGGGGGGGGGGTCACTCGCATACACACGTCCTAATCGTACTCACCTATTATGTCCATCAACCTCTGGAATAAACCCTTTAATGGCGTATCAAACCTTTACTGAAATGGACGTAAATGGCGTATGTATCCCCATTCATTTTTTGTTGTATGTGTATGTTTTTGAGACCCCCCCCCCTTATGAGTTATATTTTTTTTTATCCTTTTGGTTTAAAAAAAAAAATCCTAATGGACGACCTAAACAAGATGACCTTACCCCCCCCCCCCCCCCCCCAACGAAACGGAATATCGATTGGTCAAATTTTCAAATTTCTGGACCCCCCAAAAAATATATATATATGTCCTCTTACCCCCCCCCCCCCCCCCCACCAGTCATCTTTGGAGTGACCTTATACTTATCGTCAAATAAAATATTCAACACAAACTTATCTAATTATATATCAAATTAAAGATAAAGTAATCCTCTTTAAGAGAACATGCAATTGGAATCATAGCATTCAAGCCGCATTTAACAATATACGAATCTCTGAAAGAACATTGCATAAAATCTGTGGGCATTCAAATGTTGTAGCTATCCTAAAGTTCGTCCACGATCCACGATCTTGAGTTAAAAGGAGAGGAGAGGCATTTTGAACGTGATTTTTAAAACCATGCAGTCCTGACGGACAAGTTGACATCCAAAGCTCAGCCCTTATTGTTTCTCCTTCTTTCTTTTTATTGTCGAACAAGAATGTCTTACGGATGCACATGTTCGTTAACATTTGAATGGCTGCTTGCTCTATAATTTTGCAAATTTTCTTAATTAGAGCTTCTAAGGATTAAATGAATGTGCCTATTCAACGGTGAAGGTTCAAAACTTGATCCTAAACGATGTTGGTAGACAATTGATTTTTATTTTGTTTGATCTAGGCCTATATTAATTCACGGTATATATGAACGATTCTGAACAGAAAAGAGTGTCCAATTTTTTTTTCTTTTTAACTGAGTGTATTTATTTATTATTTTTGTTTTATTTACCCTCCTCAAGATGTATTAGCGAATTCATAAATATACAAATGACTACATTTCAGCAAAATGCAATTCACGATGATCTCTCTTTAAAGTGACAGTTAATAGTTGATGGCCGCCACTTAATAGACCGGTTTAACAACATATGCATACTTTTTAAACAAAGTTTGTTGACAACCTGAAGACTTGCTCGAGGCTTGCCCGACAAAGTAAGAAGGAATGTATGCAGACTGGATTCCAAGTATTAGCTCGTCACTAGGTTCCAAGGAAAAAAACATCCATAAATTTGAATATATGTTAGCAAAATATGTTCGTGTTAGTGTTACTGTATCAGAAGATTTTATTTGAAGAAGTAAAATCATGCCATCCAATCAAACTAAAAAAAACTTCGATATTTTCGATTTGAAGCTACCGTTCATTGTATGTAGCATACGATCCATATCCACCAAGCAAGATCACTAATCTTTGTCTAGAGAAAGGAGAGAAAATTCCCGAAGATGTCTGAGAGAAAAGTTTTAAATGTAAGTAGATCCTGCATGATAAAATATTCAACATCTGAGAGTCATTTTAATGTTAAGATACTGTGAATCTTTCAATGAAATCATCATAACCATGTCTCCCATTTGTTGTTTACTTTCTTATGCCGTAGCGTAGCCTATGCGCGTACGTTGTTGAATGGTTGTGTGACTGTGTGTTGCCTATGTAAGAAAATTGTATTGGTGTTTTCGGTCGCGCAGTAGGCCTGGCCTAGGCCTACAGATGAATTCTAGCCATGTACTGATGTAGACTAATGCCCTTGCATTTTCAAGCATCATCCGAAAGCAACAATTCAACATTCCTCAATATCATACCAATGTCAGCAATAGTGAATGAATAGACTGTGTGGCAATTCCTTCCGAAAATAATGATTTGTTGAGACTAGAGTAGTGGCTCCGGTCTGCGGCCGATCGGCGGGAGCTGCCGATTCTATTTTTATTGGAATACTCACAGAATACTTCAATACCCTCAATAAAGAGTCCATATACTTACTTATTAAATAGAAGTCACAAATAACCAAACTGACCCACAGCTTGGTCAGCATTGACCATGTTTCGAAATGCTTCGAGTTCCCCGGTTTGCGGGCACGCAGTACCGGTTTGCGGCACGCGTACGTCACAAAGCTTTATGCGCTACGTCACGATGAAAGCATGTACCAAATTACTACGGGTAACCCAAATTCTCATGTTTATCTGTTGCTACGGTAAATTTGTGAAATTTTAAACAATTTCACCTTTTCCTCGAATGGATCATCCCATACGGGGGTACGTACTAGTACTAGAAACTATCGGGTCATAGGGGGTACACACATCAGCACACATACCATCATACACGATCCCGCATGTTATGTGTGTATTAACACCCCCCGCCGCAAACCAGAAAAACACGTAATTACGTGCCGGTTTGCGGTCACCCCATGCAACTAGCCATGCGGTGGCACAATCAAAATATCTGCGATAGGAGACAGACCACAGCCATCATACTTCCACAAAAACATCAAATTTCACCTCCAATCGGACAAATATCGGACAAATAGAGCTACAATATTGATCTAGTCATGCCTCGATCTCTTAACTTAAAAGTTAGCACCTGCTGGAATTGTCATCGGCGACTGGTGCCGTAGATTTCCGACATCGCTGACGGATACTCCGTACCGATAGGAGCACCTGCTACGGACATTTTCGGCAAAGCAGAACTTACCGTGGAATCCACGGTAGGTTTCAATGATTATTATCGAGTCATATTCATTTTATTTTTGAAACAAATACCCCTGGCCGCAAACCGGGCGATGCCGCAAACCGGAGACTCTACTCTAGGTCTAGATCTAGATCTAGATCTAGATAGGCAAATTCATGCAAAAAAATATATTAAAAAAATTGACTTGAAAACACATCAGACAATTGGTCTGAACCGAGTCAGGAGCAAATTTGAAGAAATTATATTTTTAAATGTTGTAAAACCAAAGATATAAGAAGAAAACTGACCAAGTATCTGTACTAAAAATCGTACATGTAAAATTGGTCGTATACATTCGACAGCTGAAAATGACGCGCATGGTTGCATTACGTGCGTTCTCGAATCCAAAATCATACTTCACACACACACTCTCGCCATACCGCGAATGGTCCTTCGTGGGGAGCTAGCCGGCTGAGAGTTTGCAGCGATACCAACGCAGCTTCGGAGCTCCGCAGAGCGCCATTTTAGCGGGACTCGGAAGGGTTCGCGTGGGAAGGCAGCGGCCTAGCTTTTTGCCCAAACAACGCTAGATCGGCTGCTGGCAAAATGAAAATAACTAAGATCGAGAACATCGTCCGTTTCTTAACTTTTCAGTGAGATAATTCTGAATTCTAATTGAGACTATATAATCAATTGAATCGACAAAGAAACCTCGGTAGAACTCTTATAACTATACAAAAGCTTGTTTATTTCTTCATTTGACATTTTGTTTTCGACCATTTTTTCGTGCGCGAGTCAATGCAAACTATGTATTACCAAACTTTCAACACGCAAGGAACGGGGAACACTCGCGGACCTCGTATCAAATTCGTTGCAAAAAAAAAATTCAAGTGTGATTTTGAAGCAGTGTAGAATATTGGCGCTGCAATGCGCAGAAATATACTTGAAAGAAACTTAATAAATCATACCTGAATTTTCAGAAAATCGTATTTGTATTAGTGTACCTAGATGTGACTTGTTTATAACTCAGATTTTATGAAGATTTGTCGGGAAAAAATGTCAATTTTTTCCGTTTGGTGGTCATTTCTAGGCTAATATTTAAAAAGTTACTTCAGTAATGGGCCCGATGTTTCTCTTATCACACTCGCATGTTATTTCTACATAGATTAAACATAGGATGGTTAAGGGTAAGACCGGATAACATTATAAAAAAGATATATCCTTCCAACCTCCCATATCCAAGTTTTGGGCTGATTATTGCCGACCCACCGCAGCAAGGCCATTCAGATTGTCGTACGCGAGCGAAGCGCCCTCTAGTGCCCCATGAATGTGCCTAGACTAGATCTATAAATTTATTTTAAAAAACAACAACAGGAAAACAAAACCGTCCAATAGAAAACGGATAGCCTAGTGCTATGGGCAGTCGGATACTGGTCGGTTACACGTTTGACCACAGCACTAATTAGAAGCCATGTTAATGCACTTCAAGTGATGTTTAGCACTGAATTGCAAATCGGATATCGAGTAAAGGAGCCCGTTTTCGGCCACTTAAGACAAAATCCTATTTTTAGGACCCTTTACTTCCTATTTATTATCATTTTTTGTTCAAATCATGAAGCAAATATTATTATTATTTAAACAAAAAAAGAATCCCAGAAAAAAATCACGAATTGCCATGACAATATTCATTTCAATTTTCACTGTTTTGGAGCCAGTCATCGGCCGAGCGTTTCAGTTTACGGCCGCATGTACAAAGTCAATAGGAAGCGCTCGCGCGCGCCGTGCGTTTCCACGCTGATGTACAGCACAAGCGGGCGGAGCAGGTATCCCACGCCGGAGCTCCCTGGTGCTCGCCTGGCCGAAGACAGGCACAGCGGTGATCGGAAGTTGGAATCTGAATTAGACAGACATATCGTGTGTGCGTGGCAGGGTCCGGCAGCATTGATTTAATACATGCGATGAGATACTTTTGAGCTTGTGACTTACACAAAATCGGGCTCTAAATCTGAAAAATACTTGAAATTAAGCTGATTTTATGGTACCCATATTTCTTACATACACGCGTAAGATACTCGATTTTTCAGATTCGGGTAGTGGGACCGCCGATTACATCGCTAAAATGTGATATTTTAGGATATATTTTTCATTACAAATGTGGTTCTTCAGTGACACTGGCATGGTATGGTATGAGTGGGATATGTGTTATGCTATTATGCGATGTATTTTAGAGTGATTTTACCTTGCATCCAACCAATCGGCCGAAAACTGGAGCTGGCCGATTACCGGCTCCTTTACTCTCTTTAAAATTAAATGAGATCTTTTTTCTTTCTTTCTTTCAGAAATACTACCCGCCAGAGTTTGATCCGGCTAAGATCCCTAAACTCAAGCTCGCCAAGGAGAGGCAATACACTGTCCGTATCATGGCACCTTTCAACATGCAGTGAGTATTATGTTACTTTAAACAGAGTGGGTGTCAGCTTCCATGTCCACAGGGCCATATTTTGCTGACAAAAGACTTTGTAGAGATATGAGTGTGAGGTATTGTGAATGGATATTTGAAAGCGTGTTCACTCGTCACACAACATAACTCTTATTTTTATTTAGCTACGAGGAAGCAAGGTTGCACTGACAATAAAATACATGAAAGAAAGTATTCCCTTTTCGTTAAGTTTATTAGGTACTGATGAGGCTGGCCGTACACTTGCAAAGTGCAGCCAAGCACAAGCCGAAGAATCGGAATGAAAATGCATAAATGGTAAATGTGAATATTGCACGGAGATTACATAATGATCAAAGATGAGAATGAACATGAATAAATGCGATGAATAAATAGAGCTTACGACAATAGTAGAAATGAAGTCGAAAGTCCAATGAAGATGAAGAGAGTTGAGAACGAAGGAAGGGGCTCACGCGATGAAATGTGCGGAGGCTTGAAGGCGGAGATGCAGCTTCGTATTCGTGGCTGAAGAGCGGTGAAAGATCTCGACGCAGACGCTCGTGATAAAGATAGTGGAGAAACTCTCAGGCGAGAAGAGAAGAGAAGAAAGTGACCCTCGACGATGAAACAGTGAGTCATTGATGTCGGAGGCCAAGGTAGAAAATGCAGACATCAAAGTCGGCATTGGTGCTGAGCAGTGAGTCGCTCAATTGATGCGCCGAACTTTGATGATGAATGTTTAGATGAGCTGCGGTGAGTCGAGCTCATGTGGGTGAAAGGCTACTGGTGAAGAAACTGGCAGCTTCCAGCGGAGAATCAGGCGCCATGTCGGTCCTGATTAAACTGTTCCACTGGAAGACTGCAGCCCGATGAACACGGCAGAGAAAGAGTTGACGTGCCGTAGAAAAGACGAAAGGCACAGAAGAATACAGCCTGGAGAGGAAATTATGGAGACGTCTTGACTCGACCAAGATGAGAGCGGGAGTGGAGAAAACCTCGTGGCGTTGAAAATACGCGGGGTGAACAGTGCGGAACCACGATGCGCGATTGGAAAGAAATACACATGTGGCCCGAATAATGAATATAAATAAGCAGCATGATGGAAAATAACTGTGAACATGAATGTACGGTACAAGTAGGGCGAATGTAAGAGCCGCTACAACTTGATGTGTGTCTCATTCTGCACACAGCAAACCCATTGGTCATGGGAAGGGGGTTCAGAATGAACTTTTTGCGTTCTTATCTGTATGAACATGCACTATGAATATGACGGACAAAGAAAGCGGACAAAATAAACAGTTCCTCATTCTACCCTCAACAATTGCTATGGTAGACAAAGGAACATCACTTCACTGCTATTATTTAAAAATCTGTAAAACAGGTGTCATTCACCTGTTCTACACATTTTTACATAATAGCAGGGAAGGGATGTTCCTTTGTCTAATTGTCTACCACAGAAATTGTTGAGGGTAGAATGAGGAATTGTATATTTTGTCCGCTTTCTTTGTCCGTCATGTTCATAGTGATTTATGAGCTCTATGTAAAAACTTACAAAACCTTTAGGGACTGGACTAAGATTTTGGGCGCCCATGTGTCCCCGGCACCTGTTCATGTAGAGCCCTTCCTAATACAGTCAAATCTGCTTTAGTGACCACCTGTATAGAAAGTCCACCTGTCTGCAAAGACACACTTTTCTTGTCTCCCTTGGATGGTCCTTATAGACAGGTTTCACTGTACATACAAGTGTAAACTTGGTGTAATAATGATTTTTAATTAATTTTTCATTTCTGTTTTCAGATGCAAGGTGTGCAACGAGTACATCTACAAGGGGAAGAAGTTCAACGCCAAGACAGAGAATGTCCACAATGAGAACTACCTGGGACTGCGCATCTATCGCTTCTACATCAGATGTCCTAGGTGCATCTCAGAAGTTGTCTTCAAGGTAAGCATATACAGGGTGTCTAAAAAAAAAATCAATACTCTATGACTCATTGGTATGATATATGATGAAACTGCAGTGAGATATAATACTTCAAACAGAGAATGTCCACAATGAGAACTACCTGGGACTGCGCATCTATCGCTTCTATATCAGATGCCCTAGGTGCATCTCAGAAGTTGTCTTCAAGGTAAGCATATACAGGGTGTCTAAACAAAAACAATACTCTATGACATATTGGTTTGGTAATATTGCAACTCGCCTTGTGAGTGTTGTGGAATTTGTTTGGGTTCGAGTAGTACAAGATGTATAGTTACTTAGTTCCTCAAAATGTATGTATTCCTCTAGGTCTTTCCACGAGTTTCCAGAAAAATGTATTTTTTCATGACCGTGGGAACTATATCTACTGCATTATCCTTCGCCAAAACTTCGCGAAAATATCAGCATGAAATTATTTGATTGTGTCCTCTCGATCACCAGCTTCTAGTAACTGTCTCAGCGATGTTTGTTATTGAATTGTGCATAAGTCAGACTTTTTCTTGCAGTCCCAACAGATTCCGACATCTGTAGAGTTAACTGTACTTGCAACATCCTTCACTACATCTTTCAAAAATTGCAAATCTACAATGTTACTTCACGCTTTGTTTCCTTGTTACATTTCTAGACGGATCCCCAACAAACCGACTACACCTTAGAACAAGGAGCTATCAGATTGTTTGAAGCGGCCAAGCTCTACCAAGCAGCTGAGGAGAAGGAGAAGAAGCAAGCAGAGGAAGATGCCACAAACCCCATGAAGGTAGGTAGCAGGGGGTCTGCTCGCTATTCATAAGGACCGTTCATTTAGTCATGCAATATGGATAGCGGTCCTTATTAATAGAGGTCCTTTTGAATGGCGGTCCTTATGAGTAGTGAGGTAAAGTGTCTATGGTTTGTAAAGCGCTTAGAGACATTTGTATTAAGCGCTATATAAGAATTAAATATTATTATTATTATAAGGACTGTCATAAGCTACTGAAATCGCTGCATTTGATTGGCTGAGGGCAAATTTGTTATAGAAATGTGACACTTGTTATTGATAACCCGTTTTATGAATTGGCCCTGTATTACTACCAGGTCAAGCCCGCTATTCATAAAGGATCGCTATTCATTTTGTCACGCGTTATGGATAGCGGTCCTTATGAGTAATGGTCCTAACAAATGGCGGTCCTTATGAATGTAATGATATGGATATTCTCGTGTTTACGTTTTCCTCAAAGGTTCATTGACGTACATATACAAGGCAAATTCCTTGTATGCTATTTTTAACACCTGTTCCGAGACGTTGCGCTCTTAATTTTGGCTCTACTTTTTCGGCTTGGCCGATTGGATTAGGTGTCGCTGGGCGTGTCGCCACAGTTGACTTAAATTTAATCAGGCAAATTTGGGAAATAGATTTGTATTACAATTGGAAGGGTTTTTCCTTGTTGCCGGGTCTGTTCACACTATCGAAATAGTATGAGAGGGGAAGTGAGGATTACAGGTGTGTAATAGCCAGAAGCATGTGGGCTCGCTAGTGTGGACGGACATAACAACATTTATCCCTTGTTATATTCCAGGGTTGTTGGGTCTCCGGGTGATTTGCATCTCTTGTTTGAGAGATTAGAATGTAAGAGACACAGGTGGGTGCGTGAAAGAAGTATGTGAGGAATAGAGATGCGGATCATCCGGAGCGCCTTATATCCTGGGGGTAAATTCGCCAAGAAATATAGGACCTTTTAATACGGAAACTAATTATGGGTGGATTGATATTACGCAATGCGTCTGTGTGACACGCCTCAATTTTTGGGTGCGCGAGGCGTGTCAGTTCGGGGGTATAAAAACCGAGTTGCGTCTCTAGAGCGGGACCTCTTTTCCGTTACGATCGACATGAGTTGCTAATTTGTTTCGATTGGGTTGCCCAGCCCCAAAACATGAACTTCGTGATTTATTAATTCTTCGTTTATTTTAATAAATCTTCAACTCCAATCAAGAATTTGTTTCAGTGACTTTGATTTATCTTCGTTTTCTACACTTCCAGAACTAAAGCTATACTTTAACATTTTCTGAGTCGGTACTAGGCGGGGCGGTTTTGGCCACCGGGCCGTCTCGCCGTGGATCGCTTCAATCTTTTTTTTTTTTTTTTTTTTTTTTTTTTTTTTTTTTTTTTTTTTTTTTTTTTTTTTTTTGATTGCGATCTTATGGGACAGATCGTTTCAGTAGGGGAGTTTGTAATGATATGGATATTCTCGTGTTTACGTTTTCCTCAAAGGTTCATTGACGTACATATACAAGGCAAATTCCTTGTATGCTATTTTTAACACCTGTTCCGAGACGTTGCGCTCTTAATTTTGGCTCTACTTTTTCGGCTTGGCCGATTGGATTAGGTGTCGCTGGGCGTGTCGCCACAGTTGACTTAAATTTAATCAGGCAAATTTGGGAAATAGATTTGTATTACAATTGGAAGGGTTTTTCCTTGTTGCCGGGTCTGTTCACACTATCGAAATAGTATGAGAGGGGAAGTGAGGATTACAGGTGTGTAATAGCCAGAAGCATGTGGGCTCGCTAGTGTGGACGGACATAACAACATTTATCCCTTGTTATATTCCAGGGTTGTTGGGTCTCCGGGTGATTTGCATCTCTTGTTTGAGAGATTAGAATGTAAGAGACACAGGTGGGTGCGTGAAAGAAGTATGTGAGGAATAGAGATGCGGATCATCCGGAGCGCCTTATATCCTGGGGGTAAATTCGCCAAGAAATATAGGACCTTTTAATACGGAAACTAATTATGGGTGGATTGATATTACGCAATGCGTCTGTGTGACACGCCTCAATTTTTGGGTGCGCGAGGCGTGTCAGTTCGGGGGTATAAAAACCGAGTTGCGTCTCTAGAGCGGGACCTCTTTTCCGTTACGATCGACATGAGTTGCTAATTTGTTTCGATTGGGTTGCCCAGCCCCAAAACATGAACTTCGTGATTTATTAATTCTTCGTTTATTTTAATAAATCTTCAACTCCAATCAAGAATTTGTTTCAGTGACTTTGATTTATCTCGCCGTGGATCGCTTCAATTGGTAGTACGGATTGTGTGGGTGTGGGAGCATCGTTTGCTCCCACACGCACCCCATCCGTACTACCAATTGAAGCGATCCACGGCGAGACGGCCCGGTGGCCAAAACCGCCCCGCCTAGTACCGACTCAGAAAATGTTAAAGTATAGCTTTAGTTCTGGAAGTGTAGAAAACGAAGATAAATCAAAGTCACTGAAACAAATTCTTGATTGGAGTTGAAGATTTATTAAAATAAACGAAGAATTAATAAATCACGAAGTTCATGTTTTGGGGCTGGGCAACCCAATCGAAACAAATTAGCAACTCATGTCGATCGTAACGGAAAAGAGGTCCCGCTCTAGAGACGCAACTCGGTTTTTATACCCCCGAACTGACACGCCTCGCGCACCCAAAAATTGAGGCGTGTCACACAGACGCATTGCGTAATATCAATCCACCCATAATTAGTTTCCGTATTAAAAGGTCCTATATTTCTTGGCGAATTTACCCCCAGGATATAAGGCGCTCCGGATGATCCGCATCTCTATTCCTCACATACCTCTTTTCCGTTACGATCGACATGAGTTGCTAATTTGTTTCGATTGGGTTGCCCAGCCCCAAAACATGAACTTCGTGATTTATTAATTCTTCGTTTATTTTAATAAATCTTCAACTCCAATCAAGAATTTGTTTCAGTGACTTTGATTTATCTTCGTTTTCTACACTTCCAGAACTAAAGCTATACTTTAACATTTTCTGAGTCGGTACTAGGCGGGGCGGTTTTGGCCACCGGGCCGTCTCGCCGTGGATCGCTTCATGAATAGTGAGGCAAATTGTCTATGGTTTGCTCACTATTTATAATGGCCGCTCTTCATAAAGGATCACTATTTATTTCGTCACACGTTATGGATAGCGGTCCCTATGAATAATGGTCCTTACGGATAGCGAGCTTGACCCGGTAGCAGTGCAGGGCCCTGTTTCATAAAACTTGTTATCAATAACTCGTAACATTTTTATAACAAATTTGCTCGTAGCCAATCAAATGCAGCAATTTCAGTTATAACAGTCATTGTAACTTTTGTTTTATGAAAGTTTTATGAAACAGGGCCCAGATGATAGGAAAGAAGATTGACTTACGGATGAAAATGTTCTTCAATTGTCCTCTGGCAGAAGGGAAAAGGGGGAAGGGGTGGAGGAGGCGGCAATGGCAAAACCAGCCAATGCGCACCTCTTTAACCCATGTTATCTCAAAGGGGAAAAAGTGTCCACCCCTTTTTCCAAATTGTATGGTGAGAAAATGTGATAGAATTTAAATTTAGGACGCAAAGTACATGTAAATACAGCTTTATCACCAAATGCGTTTTTCAAACACTCTCTCTACGTGCCATGTCCTGAGAGGTTGATGACCATAGAGTGCCACAACTCTCTGTCCCATATTCTATGAAGTAATTCATTCTCCCCGAGATCAATTCCTCTTTCAGAAATCCCACTCATTAAGCTACTCATCCACAGAATCCTCCTTCTACCCCTACTCCTCCTCCCCTCGATTCTTCCAGTCAGTACAAGATTTTCCAAAACTATTCTTTCGTATAACATGGTCCAAGAAGCTTAGCTGTCGATCTCTTATTATATTCAGAAGCTTTTTTCTTGTTCCTGTCATGGCAAATACCACATTATTTAGAAACTCTTTCTCTTTCTTCAAAAACACAAAGGCATTAAATGGCTGTCGCTATGTGCTGTATAAGAATGATATAACAAATATTGCCTGCTCTGCTCCTGGTGTGTAGGTGCTGGAGAACCGAACCAAGGACTCTAAGCTAGAGATGGAGGTGATGGAGAATCTTGAGGAGCTGAGGGAGCTCAACATGAGACAGGGTACTATCAACTATGAGGAGATCCTCAAACAAGGCGCAGAGCAAGAAGCACTTGGGCTGAAGCAACAGGAGGAGGACGATGAAGAGGAGATTAGGTAAGAATTTGAGGGATTGAATGAATGATGGATGGATGGGTAGATGGAACCACTATAACTTTGGAGAGATGATTGCATGATTGACTGATCGATTGATCATTAAACAAACTACCTTCCTTTCTGTCTGTCTGTCTGTTTTGTTTGTTCTGTCTCTCCGTTTCTCTCTGTTTCTCTCCCTCTCTCTCTCTCTCTCTGTTTCTCCCTCCTGTCTCTGTATCTCTCACTCTCTCTGTTTCTCCCTCCTGTCTCTGTATCTCTCACTCTCTCTGTTTCTCCCTCCTGTCTCTGTATCTCTCGCTCTCTGTGTTTCTCCCTCCTGTCTCTGTATCTCTCGCTCTCTCTGTTTCTCCCTCCTGCCTCTGTATCTCTCACTCTCTCTGTTTCTCCCTCCTGTCTCTGTATCTCTCACTCTCTCTGTTTCTCCCTCTTGTCTCTGTATCTCTCACTCTCTCTCTCTCTCTGTTTCTCCCTCCTGTCTCTGTATCTCTCACTCTCTCTGTTTCTCCCTCCTGTCTCTGTATCTCTCACTCTCTCTGTTTCTCTCTCTGTCTCACTGTTTTTCTCCCTCTCCATCTCTCTCTGTCTCACTGTTTCTCTCCCTCTCTCTCCATCTCTCTGTCACACTGTTTCTCTGTCTCTCTATCTCTATGTGTGTGTGTGTGTCTCTCTCTCTCCCTCTCTCTCTTCCTGTAATGTTCTGTTCTGTGTAGAGGCATTTGTGGTGTAGTAGTTCATTCACTTGACTCTCAATCCAAGGGTTCAGGTTTCTAATCCCCCTCCGGTAATTAACAATCTGTGACAAGACATTACTCCAAGTCTGCCACTCTCCACCCAGGTGTAAATGGCTACCCAATATGCTAATGTTTGAGGGCTACATATTTGTCCACTCTGCTATGACAGAGGTAATATTGTTGGAGCATCAGGGGCGTCACAGAGTGACAATCTTGTGGTTGTTATCATCTGTCAATGATTCCTCCTTTGTGTCTTCGTCGTCGTTGTCCTATAGATCATGGCTGACCCGTTGTGACCCATGTGATGAGACCTTTCCACCGACATCTGTCTCCTGCAATCTGGTAGAGTGTATGGAGAGGGTGGCCAGTGATATCCCTAAGACTGTCATTCCATCCTTCCTTTGCTACGTGTTCCTTGAAAAGTTTCTTGAATGATAATTTGTTCAAGGTTGACTCCTAATCTTCTGCTATCTTCATACCAATGAGTATATTATTTTTCTTGCTGTATTTTTTGTCTTTCTCTTTCTCACATGCTTCTTGTAGGAGACTATTTGGCAAGGGAGGAGACGGTATCATAATCAAGAGACTTGACGATGATGACGACGAAGATGAGGAATCACCCAGCAGCTCCAAACCTTCTCCATCCTCTATGACATTTAAAAGGCCTACTGATATTCTTACAGATGTAAGCGTTGTCTTTTTGTATACTTTGATGTTCTTTACCCTAAAAGGGCCGGGGGGGGGGGCAGAATCCAACCCCCCTTCCACCCTGCGTGCGGTAATATGTTTCAGGATATTTCGTTTTGTGCCACAAGCTCTCATGAATTTATCGCCGCAAGTCTTACACATCTTTTGATACCAAATCTATAAATGTTCAACCAATGGGTACTGTGCAGCGTCAAAATGGAAATTTGCTGCCCCACAGGCTCTTGAGGCCTACAAAATATTTAAGATTTATTTCTGGTGTCTCAAATATGAATGGAAGTAGTTAATATTATAATCTATAAAGTCTTCCAAGTGGTACAATAAATCAGTGTTTTCAATATCTTTAGCGCAGAATACCAGAATATATTGCTCTCGCTAAGACAATATTAGACTCATCTTCGACTCGACCAATATTGTCATAGCTCGAGCAATATATTCACACTCAAAGCCATCCAATATTATATAAGCATTGTTAAAAACATCAGCTCATCATGTTTTTCTCTTGTTCGACAGGAATCTAGTGGACCATCGGGAGCCAAGAAACAGAAGCTAGCAGACACCTCCTCAAGGTTATCTACAAAGTCATCCTTAAAATCATCCTCAAGGTCATTCCTCTCGGGTCTGGTCAAGGTAAAAAAGAGTGATACCAGCAGCAGCAGCAAACCGGACAAAGACAATGCAACAACATCAACAGAAAATAGTCCAAATGAAACCACAAAACTAGTTGAGGCTGAATCCGATACTTCAACAGATGCGGCACAGTTGATCACAAAACCAGTTGAGGCTGAATCTCATACTGCGACGGATGCAGCACCATCGTCAATAGGTGGGACAGCAGCTATTGAGAAGAGAACTGAATCAGCAGCAGTGAGTGACCAAAATAGTGAATCACATAGCAAGAACTCTGATGGTAATAATACTACAGTAGAGAAGGAGGAGGAGGAGGAGAAGGAGAAAGAAGAGAAGGAGAAGGAAAAAAAGGAGAAGACGGAGGAGGAGAAGCAAGAGGAGGCTGAGGCTTCGTTTGCGAGTAGCATACAAGAAGGACTTAAGAAGCAGAAGGTTGCATCGCAGAAGGTCGCGAAAGAGAAATCAAGTGGACTGAGTCTGCTAGGGGGCTATGACTTCAGTGATAGTGATATCAGTGACTCCTCATCAGATTCATGAACCAGCTTCTCTTCTTTTTTTTTTTTGGGGGGGGATACAATAAGTTCTTGATAGAAACGTGTATGCAACCCTGTACATGTTCCTGTATGCATTATAAATCATTTGATCACATATTCACATTGACCGATCGCCTATTGTGTTTATTCATTTTTCAGTGAAACCAGCCGCCTGTGAACACTAATGAAGTACACAGGACAAGCTGCTTCTAAAGCTACCTCACACAAAAACAAGGGTAAATCTTGGAGATTGTGCTTTCAGTTGTGCCGCTCCAAAGCTTTAGAATAACTCCTACTAGACATAAAAACAAGCCTCATCTGGTGCTCTCTTCAAAGTTTTGTTGAAGACGCACTTGTTTGCAGGAGCTTTAAAATAGATTCTATTTTGCTATTGTGTGTCTGTAAAGTAGCACTGTTAGCAGTTATTTTTCTTCATCACATTCAGTAGAGTATATTTAATAATAGCTGCGCTCTATAAATTGATCAAATTATTATTATTATTAGCAAATCATAGGGCAATTAGCTATGAAAGAAAGGAGGCTGCGTTAACTTTTTCAGAATAGTTTCTAGTCTTTATCAGAGCCATCTATACACAGAGTTTGGCCAACTTGATTTCAGTTGGTCACAACGTGGCGTACATTCTGTTTTTTTGTACTTTCCCAACGAAAGCAGTATTCACCGTACTGTGCCCAACTCAAAACAGATTGGCCAACTCTTCTAAGCAATGGCACTGGGGTGGTGTCCTGAAAACCATGTCATCTGTTATGATAGCAAAGTAATGTTGATTGTCATAAGAAATCGCAAGTAGGCCAAGTCATGGTTACTATTTTTTGCAAACTGGCTGCATACCATACGCCTGTAGGCATCTGCGGGAGCAAAGATGAAATATGTCTATTCTGCACAATTTCACTTTGTTATGACAATCAACATACTTTTTACTACCGTAAAGATAACATTGTTTTCAGAATACTACCCAAACTCTAAATCACTGGACATACAAGTAGATGACACAACATGTTTCTGCATGTGCATTGAAGAAAAAAAGTAATAATATTCATGGATCTAAATCCCTGAAATTGTTGAGTATATTTTATAAAAATGTTTATGCTTGAACAAAATTAAATGATATGAAATGTATTTTGAAACTCAATTGTATCATACTGTTCTTCAAATCTGTGTCATATTTGTCTAATGTGGATTCCATACAACTTCTTACAAAACATATGTAAAACATCAAACCATATATATAATTGACAGGTATATGATGTGTACATCCTCGAACAAAACTCTCTGTAGGCCTATTATACATGTAGGCTATGTTCATGTACTTTCTTTCACCTGTCAACTTCTCCTATGTACACTCTAGACAACTTCCACGTGTTTAGACAGTGTTCCTATTAGAGTTATCTTTCTCTCACTCTCTATCTTTTTCTGTCTCTGTCTCTCTTTGCCTGTCTTTCTATGTCTCTCTATCCCTGTCTGTCCGTTTCTCTCTGTCTCTCTCTGTCTCTTTATCCCTGTATGTCTGTCTCTCTTTCTCTGTGTATCTTTGTCTCTCTGTCTCTCTCTCTCTCTCTATTCCCATCAAGGGCTTTCGCTTTCTCCACACTCAATCACACTATACAAGTAATTCTCTTTAGGCAAACAGGCAAAACTCTGAAACTACATGTATCTGAGCGGCACATATTCAAATAATTTATTTGTACACTAGACACTGCCACAACTGTGTTGGGCAGGACTCGACAACCATATTCTCCAATCATCACTACACAATGGTATATATTCATTATAGAAAACATCACTGAACTTCAAGTGTCAACCTCCCCTTTTCCATACAAATGATTAAATTATGTAATGAGAGCATATTGTCTGTGCTTTATAAATGTATATTATTATCGTTATTGAGCTTGCTCTCTCCATCTGTCGGTCTGTATATCTCTGTCTCTGTATCTCTCCCTCTCTGTCTGTCTTTCTCTCTTTCAGAAAGGAAGGGGTGCTTTTTCACCAATCATCACTACATAATGGCATATTCATTACAGAAATCAAAGTTAATTATCACTGAACTTTAAGTGTCAACCTCCCTTTTCCATACAAATGATTGAATTATGTAATGAGAGCATATTGTCTGTGGTTATTTAGCTTGCTCTCTCCATCGGTCTGTCTGTATATCTCTGTTTCTGTATCTCTCCCTCTCTGTCTGTCTTTCTCTTTCAAAAAGGTAGGGGTGCTTTTTCACTAATCATCACTACACAATGGCATTTATTCATTACAAAATCAAAGCTAATGAATTAAATTATGTAATGAGAGCAAGGAAAATGGACTTGATGCATATGGATTCACCCAGATATAAGGTCATGAAAAACAGAGGCATGCTGAGATTACTGCAACTCTTTCATGTCCAAGTGTGCGGTGAATAATTGTCAAATGTTACAAGAAAATGATTTGCCAATCAAAAGGAGAAAAAAAAAGTGTACTAAAATATTCAGAGAAAACAAGTACAGACATACAAATAGTGTAACACATTCTATTTACTGGGTAAATCATTTTTTCTCCATTATTTATTATTCAAATTCAACCAACTCTGGATAGGGAATCATAAATAATATAGCACATCTATGTACTTCATGCAACGGCAGCCCTAAATGCGATAGCTCTATTTATCTCTCTTCATTTTCATAGATAAATATACATATGATTTAAATACATCAATCTCTTCACACAAACTTTTCAAAAATACACACATAAACTTATTTGTATTTGTTGACATCAGCAAAGCATACCAATAATTTACAATGCCCTGTGACACATTTTTACTTGGCATGCATTTGTTCATGTCAATCAATAGACTTTCGTGTTTTAATATATTATATTTACATCAAAGTCAATATATAATATACATAGTAAAAATTGACTTATTTCAGAATGTTTCAAAGGTGCATTTACTCTATAGAAAGACTGGATATTTTCAAGGTACATTATTTTACAACTATTTCATGTTTGCAGGTGCATTATAGTGAATATGCACTGCATGCATGCACCCAGGTAAAGTCACAATCAAATTATGACTGAAACTTGTCAAGTTCATTGCTGGAACGTTAAAAAAAAGGTATATGCTGAAACAAAGAACTTGTACATGATTTTAAGACTGCATAGAATGATCATTTAACACAAGATTTAGGGAGTTAAAATCTGTTTTCTCTTGTAAATTGTAATCAGTTTTAGACACCACAAAACTATAAAGCAATTACACTATCTGCAGAAGGTCACGTTTTTAGAGCATGAAATCTTTCAAAACCTTTCAAGGTCATAAATATGCGTAGGGAGAGGTATTAAAAGACAGCAAAACAATATGTTTACACGTGCATGTACTATATTAGTGTACACTGCATACACTAATATGGCACAAATATATGTATCATTAATGCAGTGCAATGGCTGATATACATGAACAGTTAACAACTGAATTATTCATAACCCTTGTAAATTTGATGACTTTTATGTTTTTTGTTACTCAAGAATGGAAGGTGAACTAGTTGCATTAGTAGTGCCTTTGTTTGATACTTTTAGATGTAAGCTCTGATATGTCACTTTCTCAAGAAACATAAATTGGACAAATCAATTATTCACATAATTCACATACTTAAAAATTACAAAACTAGGTAAGGTATGAATAATTTATTTACTTGTTAACTGTACATGTATATCAGAAATGAAAAAACCTGAAAACCAAAATCAACACTTTTGAGAAAACAAGTTTGTTTGCAAACTGTAACAATAATGGCACCAAGATATCACATTTCCATGAAACAAGCAAAATTAAACTTAATATTAGCCTCTTGTAATACATGATATTCAATTGCTACCACATAAAGAATCATCTCAGATCAGCTATCATATAAAACTTGAGGCTAAGGCAAATACATAAATACAGGCAATTCCTATTCTTATTAAAGAAGAAAATATGTTTAGTAACATTATATCTTAAAGTAAAATTTACTTTTGTTTTACATATTTCTTTTCTGGACGGATATCAATAAGAAACAACTATTGCAAGTGGACAAAATGAATGGCACTATGTATACAGAGGTCACATCACTGGCTTTTATAATTTTCTCCCCATATAAAATACAATTTATACAGATTTAATTGCAAGATAAAGACTATTCTTATATTATACAATTTTGATCGATGGCTCCAATCTTTAATAGTGATAGAACTACGTGTACAAAAAAAATAATCCATTTCAACTTGGATCAAAGCTTATTAGTCTTGGAAGGGATGCCATTTTACAGATAGCTGAGGGAGTACAAATATGTAAGACAATGTATTGATCACGTTGAACCCTGTATTCAAAATGGAAGAACCCTGATCAAAATAGATATGGAACAGCTTCAGACCATACCATTAACTTTTGAAGGGGTGATTTCTCACTGGTAGCTGAGGAAGTACAGTAGAAGACATCATGTAATCTTGTCCTACCCATCTTCAAAATGGAAGAACCCTTATCATCATAGACAAGGTACTGGATTTGACCATACCATTATTTCTGGAAGGGGTGCTTTTTCACTTGAAGCCCAGGAAGTACGGAATGAAGACCAAATACTCTATCTTGTCTATTGACAATGATCCATTCTGAAGAAAAAAAGAAAATACACCAAAATATAACAAGACATATTTATCATGGAGTATAATATCGATTGACTGAACATTAATTGTGGTAATCATGTGTAAGAAGAGTTACATACATGTAAAACATGGTGAAAAATGTTGAATAAAATAATGCAATAAATTTTTACCCATCTTTGTAATCTACTTCAACTGCCCTACATACAATATTCTTGGATACATATCCTATAGAGTAAAGTGCAATCATCCCTAGGAACACCCTCCCACCTTTCATGGACCTTTTATATCAAAGAGCAAAATACATATTTAGACCAAAAAAGAACTACAGCTCTTATAGGCCTACATCTCGTAGACACATTTATAAAAAGAACATAGCAGGTTTCAAAATTGATATGTAATGATAGTCTCAGAAATGTAACAAATAAGTTCATTTACCTTGCCTATGGTGGACAGGATCTCACTGAAGAGCCTGGTGTCGGAGGCTAGGTCCTTGTTCAGTAATGTTCCCAGTAACTCCTGGAAAGAGGCTAGGCTGATGCAGCCAGTCTGTTGTCTGTCCACAGTAGAAAACATCACCTGAAATTTTGTAAAAATAAAAAATATGTAACTAAATGGACGTAAAATAGGAAAGGAATGCTTTCAACTCTGTCAACTTTGAGATCCCTGGAGAGGAGAGAGAGAGAGAGAGAGAGAGAGAGAGAGAGAGAGAGAGAGGAAGAGTGACAGACACAGAAATAAAAGATGGGGTAAATTGGAGAGAGAGAAACAAGTGCCATAATGTTAAATCTAAGTTTAACCCTTTGCCTCAGTGAATCGGAATAGAGAATTCAGTAACAGGTTAAGCTTTAGCACCACCTTGTGTCAATTTCTGCAAGAATCATTAATATTGTGCAGCTATCTTCAGCCATCTCTTGGTAGTGCACTACCTCCTTGGCTTCTGATATGTGTCTTCAATAAAGAGGTTTAAGTTTACTCATGCAGACTATCACTGTGTCTTTATGTCCTGGTGGCAGCGGTGGGATATGAACCTACACAATCAAAATGACTGGTACTATGAGATACAGAGAAAGGGAGTGTGTGTGAGAAAGAGACAGAGAGAGAGAGAAAGAGAGAGGAGGAAGAGCAAGGGAAGAGCGACAGAGAGAGAGAGAGAGAGCGCGCGCTAGACAGAGAGACAGACAAATAGAAAGAGACAGAGAGATAAATATACAGGGTGATATACAGGCAAACATACAGAGCATTAAAGAGATTTGGTAATATTGTTCAGATGAGAGAATATGGTGCTAGGGTTGTGACTTCAATGTTAGATGTACAATTAAAGATAATCTGAAAGTTTGACTGAAAACAGACTATTATTAATGAAAAAGTTGGGAAAAACTGATCTGATCGATTCCTTAATGCTCCCAACTATATTAGCATACTCAATCAAATTTTAGGTTAATGTAAATCACCACAAAGCAATGAATTGGCTCTATATATCTCTGTTTTATGTCTTATTTTCATGGAAAAAAACGATTGGGAAAATTAAAAAATGGTTGGGAGAATTTACTGTTAGAGGGTGTTGCACAGTGACGCCTTCAAAGAAAACCATAAATATCTTTGTGGTTTGAGATTTTTTGGGGGTGAAAAAGAATGTGACACAGAAAGACAGAGAGAAAGGAAAAGTGACAGACAGACAGACAGATACATACACAGAAAGACTGACAAAGGACGAACAGAAAATGAAGTATTGACAATCTTGCTGCTTACCACAAACTGAGTAATATTCTGTTGAAGCATTGACTGGTTGACCTTCTCAAAGGCATCCCTCACAGGACCAGTCAGCTTGGCTAGTCTCTCACACAGGCAGCTGATCGTCACAAACTCCTCCAAACCAAAGAATGTACTTGCACTAACCAGCTCATAAGCCTGGGGAAGAAGACAAGTCAATATATTCAATATGATCATGATATCATTGTGCGTGCAAGAGGCAGATTAGTGCAAGTGTTGAAAAAACAAGACAGTCAATGAGAAAGTTGTGGTTTAATCAAATTTGATCACTAAAACATGGATAATCATCTATACACAAATCAGTCAAGATAAGTGATGCTAACTCTATTCGTTGTGCACAAGAAGATCCAACTCTCTCTCTTTTGCACTTTCATTATGACTAGGTGATCCGACATATATGGTCTGGTAACAAATTGCTTCAAGCTTTATTTTGTCAAAGTGATAGTGTTAGGGTTTGGGAGAGGATTAGGTATAATGTTGAGTCTAGGGTTGAAATATGTAATTTGGTCAGTGTAGGTAACTGATCTCATAGCAATTGTCACTGGAGCATGTGTCATCCAACATATGATATGTAATGTTATCATATTTCGTTTGTTAATTTATAAAGCGTTATGTAACTATTAACTTTTATTATTATATGATTGTTATTAGGAATTTGTTATTAGAATTATGTAATATGTATCATGTATAATATTGTTGTAACTTGTAGGTTAACATATTTCTTTATAAATGTAATATATTTATACAAATATTATAATTTTCTCACCTCTTTGATATATCTCTGTTGAGGTCTTGATAAATTCTCTGGAAACGTAGTCTCAAGTTCCTTGAAGGTTATGTGTCTGAGAAAGACAAATGGACATTCAGATGTAAGTGATAAACTTGAAATACACATCACACTCATGGTGCTCTGTCCAGGGATTATGCATAACGCTTTGATTCTAGTTCACTAAAAGCATGAGGCTTGAGATGTGGTCAACATAACCATTAAGACAAGGACTAAATGACATAACAAACAATGCAGTTTTATCGTATGTATGACCTGTAAAATTCTGTCTCAAACTGAGACAGAAGTTGCTGAGGCAGAACTAGAAAATTGTCTGAAATTTAGGGAGATATGTATTTTCTACAATAATCTGAAGGTTTGATGTTTCATAATGTTCATAAATAATTGAGTCCAAAATACATTTTCTGAGTGTTTTTTCAGTATACATACTCGATATGCCTGTGGGTCATTCCATGTCAAATCACCCAAAAAATCTGAAAATCTTAACCCGACCATTTTTTATTTTGATGAAACTTAGTGTACTTGTTGAGTGTGATCTCACAGCACCAAATCCCAAATTTTAGGTCAATTGGGTGAGGGGCTTGGGAGATACGGCCCACCAAATTTTGAGATTTTTTCAAAAATGGGGGTGGCGGGCCTACCTTTGAACCCTTGTATCTCGGGACCTAATGGGTCAATCTTCACAAAATTTGTATTGTTGGAAAGGGTATTCAATAAGGATTTCAAATCTGCCGCCATTTTGAAAATTCGTACATGTTGGGGTACTTTGACCTCCTGACCTAAGATTTGACCTTGAAATTGACCTTGTGGATCACGTGACCTTGACAACATTTTTCATGAAATGTAATCTCTGACATGTTCACTAAAACATATAAAAGTTTCAGAGATATAATATTTTTGGTTTAGGAGCAATAAGGATTGTAAGTATCCATACTTACAGATATTCACAATAAACCCTATTATAATGTATACAATACATGCAATATGCACAGTACAACATACATCTTCCACATGCTTTTTTGTTCTAGTCATATCCATTCTAAATGTCAGCAGTACTTAAATAGAAATAAAATGACAAGTTCATATAGGCCTAAAGGGTTAACAAGATGTATGGCTTTAGGCCTCTGAGTCTGTTCTAGGATAATTGCCCCCCTGGAAAATTAACCCCCAGGAAATGTCCCCCCCCCCCCCCGAGGACAATTACCCCCCGAGGACTATCACACCCAGAGGACAATTACCCCCCAGAAAATAACTTCCTAGGACAATTTGTCCCCCCCCCCGGGACAATTACCCCCCAGAGAATTACCCCATCCCCCCCCCTGGAAAATTACTCAAGGATAATTACCTCCCCCCAAAAAAATCTGCTTTGATTAAAACCAACTTATTATCAGGATAAACTTCCCCTTCAACTAACAGAGGGGGGGGGGGGGTAGTTGTCCTAGGGGGTAATTGTCCGGGGGGTAATTGTCCGAGGGTGTAATTGTCCGGGGGGTTAATTGTCCTCGGAGGGGGGGGGGGGACAGATTGTTCTAAGAGGTAATTTTCTGGGGGGTAATTGTCCTCTGGGTGTGATAGTCTTCCCCTTCAACTAACAGAGGGGGGGGGGGGGTAGTTGTCCTAGGGGGTAATTGTCCGGGGGGTAATTGTCCGAGGGTGTAATTGTCCGGGGGGTTAATTGTCCTCGGAGGGGGGGGGGACAGATTGTTCTAAGAGGTAATTTTCTGGGGGGTAATTGTCCTCTGGGTGTGATAGTCCTCGGGGGGTAATTGTCCTGGGGGGGGGGACATTTCCAGGGGGGTAATTATCCTAGAACTGACTCAGAGGCCTAAAGCCATACATCCTGTTAACCCTTTAGGCCTATATGAACTTGTCATTTTATTTCTATTCAAGTACCGCTGACATTTAGAATGGATGTGCCTAGAACAAAAAAGCATGTGGAAGATGTATGTTGTACTGTGCATATTGCATGTATTGTATACATTATAATAGGGTTTATTGTGAATATCTGTAAGTATGAATACTTTCAATCCTTATTGCTCCTAAACCAAAAATATTATATCTCTGAAACTTTTATATGTTTAAGTGAACATGTCAGAGATTACATTTCATGAAAAATGTTGTCAAGGTCACGTGATCCACAAGGTCAATTTCAAGGTCAAATCTTAGGTCAGGAGGTCAAAGTACCCCAACATGTACAAATTTTCAAAATGGTGGCAGATTTGGAATCCTTATTGAATACCCTTTCCAACAATACAAATTTTGTGAAGATTGACCCATTAGGTCCCGAGGTCCCGGGTTCAAAGGTAGGCCCGCCACCCCCATTTTTGAAAATATCTCAAAATTTGGTGGGCCGTATCTCCCAAACCCCTCACCCAATTGACCTAAAATTTAAGATTTGGTGCTGTGAGATCACACTCAACAAGTACACTAAGTTTCATCACAATCAAAAATGGTCGGGTTAAAACCATTGGGTGATTTGACATGGAATGACCCCTGTGTCATCTCAGCTCAGTATAACAGAAACTAAAAAATGTTTTTTTTTAATACATTTTTATCACAAATCAAAGCAAACAGCAGAGGTTTTGTATAAATTCTTCAACAAAATATTTGAGTTACCTAGAATTGAGAAAGGAAGAGCCTCAAACAGAATTATGAACATAAATGTACTTCAAAAGTAGCATTGGCTATTTATCTTGACTGACCCAAGCTCCACTGTAGGGCTATCAATTAATACAATCATCCCAAATACTAAAATCGGTTATGTATGGGACAACATAGCCTTGTTCTGTCCGCTAAAAACTAGTAAAAGAATGTTCTGCTTACCCATCTTTATCTGAGTCAAGCTTGGTGAACTTGAGAGCAAGGGCATCCCGCTTCTCATCACTCATGTTAAGATGAAGATCAGCCGACATGAGGGGGTTGCGGGAGGGGGGCTTAGGGGTGTAAGGCTCCTCCAGGACCGGTCCTACAGGGGCACTATCCTCTAGAGGCTCGTCAATGTCCATCTCAGAATCTGGGCGTGGCAAGCTGCAGTGATGAGAGATTTTTTTATTAATATAAAATATAGGAAGATGACAGTAAAGGCCTTAAAAAAAAAAGTTGTATTGCCCTTTAGGTGCCAAAACATGGGGCAGTCGGTCAGAAATCTCTTCTTTAAAAAAAAATATATTTCTCCGTTTTTTCTCCCCCCTTTGGGTTGATGTTTTTCAGTTTTGAATGCTTTAATACATTTTTTTCTAAAAAACGGTAAAAAAAAAGTAAATTAAAAAGCTATCGTAGATTTCAAGATTTTGGGGTCGGTCGCAAAGGGCAAAACAACATCTTTTTTTTTAGGCCTAACTTGAATTTAGCTCACTAAAGGACTTGCTCATATCATTTCATTCTAAGAAGTAATTAAAAACTCACAACCAATGCTTCCCGTCATTTGTCCTACCAAGTAATGAGTAATGATAATGATCATTTCAAAAGTTGAATAGTAACCGATGTTGAATCAAGGAAAATGAATCCACTGGTATCTTTTCTGTATCTTATTTCTCATATTCATTAAAAATCCACTGAATGAGTAATCATTTAACATAGATTGCAAGATCAACCAGCAATTACCTGTGGCCACTGGATCTCATTATCACTTTTATCTTTACTGTAATACCTTAATACCTCAATTCACAAGAAAGCTTTCCATCCATTTCCAAAGGAAATCTTACAATCTGTTTAGTTGTCTCCAATTGCTGCTAAAATATCAAGCAGATGTGGCAAATTTATCATTGGTTTTGACCTGTTCTAATCATGGCATGAATTTCAGATGTCTGACGTAGCAATACAATTTAAGTCCCACATACCTGATGTCATTGGTTTCATCATCGGGCTGGTCTAATGTAATGTGTTCAGGATCATCTACTGGTTCTTCCTGTAGTCTCTCCTCTATCTCCATCCTCTCTTCAGTCCTGTCCTCAGCACTGCTTAGAAAGATTAATCACAATGAAATACTTAGCTAACCAATTTCAAGGGCTAATCTAATCATCAATCTATTTGGGATCTAAAAACTAAGATTTTATGAGACAAGCTGTTTAATCATATTACATTACAGGTAGACCTAAAAAAGAAAGATGTTGTATTGCCCTTTAGGTGCCAAAACATGGGTCGGTCGGTCAAAAATCTTTTTTTTTTCCCTGTCCTCTTTTGGGCTGATATTTCTTAGTTTTGAATGTTTTAAAACAATTTTTTTCTAAAAAACGGTAAAAAAAAAAAATATATATATATATATATTTTTAGGTCGGTCGCAAAGGGCAATACAACATCATTTTTTTAAAGCCTTAGTTTGATCTATTGTCTCACTACTAAATGTATGGAATTACATTGTATCAAACTTCTATTCATTAACCAATGTTTAATTTGAAGGAAAAAAACTTTATTCATCAACGGGTGCTAGAAGTTGAGCAGCTTATATTGTCCATGACACTGTAAGGATCCCCCTCTGTTTTATTTTAGAGGTGGAAAAATTATGTGAAAATTATGGGCTCACTGCTGATGACATTTTCAGAAAGTATTTGCGAAGGTATGAATCGACGTTGCTTTTCCTACCTTTCTGTCACTACGGGTACATCTGCAATCTCCTCTCTAGATCCAACTTTCTTCACCCTCTCCACTCTTTGCCCACCTCCATGTCCGCACTGTGACCTTTGACCTCCAGAAGCTCTCGATCCACGGACAGTCGACCCATCCGCTGTGCTCACTCCCGAGTCATCCTGGCGAAGGTCTCGCCGATTTACTTTCGGTTTAACCGGAGTTCTATGAACAGTGAAAGGCACATGTTGTGGATCAACATCCCGCTCTGTTCTTTGTCTCGCCACTGGGGGCGCTGTAATACTTTGTTTCCTTGGTGTGGCATCTTTAGCCGGTGGTGATGCTTTGTAATTGGATACGCTGGGAGGCGCGGAGCTTGGGAGGGCAGCCTCTTGCTTGATTCTCTCCTGCCATTTCTGCTTGCGGACATTAGTCCCATGCGAACTAGTGAAGAAAATGTGGAGTAAGAGGAAGAGTAATAAGAAGGGAAATAGAAAAGAGAGCAATAAATGTGAAGGGATTAAATCTCTATACACCTGCAGAGAGATTCTCATAATCAGCCTCCTTAATTGGCAAAGAGGATCCCCATTCACCAACCAGAATAATATCATACAAAGCTATATAACACACAGTTACTTATGACACACAGTTACATAAGCAGTAATACATACATGTATGAATTGATAGTGTGTTACATAAATGATTACAGGCTACCATAAGCAATTTATGTCCAAAAGTTATTAACTTATCAGCCACAAAAATTCTAGATCCATATATTCCAATAAAGAAAGCAAATTATTTCACCAGTATTCATGTGTTTAAATTTAAAAAGCCTTTGTCAATCACTCTTGAGCTTTAATTCTACATTTCCATGTAGCTCTTTAACATTGGTGGCAGCGGTGGGATCGATGACTTGTGGATGACCCATTTATACATGACACAGTAAATCACATCAGAGAACTGCTGCAGCAGAATAAAAATCAATTCATGTTCAAATGAATGGCAAGTGAGTGTTTTAATTTTTTTTTAAACGTTGCACACATAAACGCCTCTTTGAATGATGTGTGTGTTACGAGATACAGATTTTTATCACTCCCTACAGTCATATCACTGTATCTTGTGAGTTGTGACATATACTTTTTGATAGGGGTTGCAGGATTAATCTGAAATTATGGAGGCCAATCCTGTATGCTGACTACCTAATTTTCTTTTTCCCTTTTGTTAATATGATTTAATCCAAATTTACAATTTACGATTCATTCACAGTGGAGGAGGCGCGATGGCTCATTGGTAGAGCAGTGCATGGTCTCATACCGGAAGGTCCTGGGTTGAAAACCAAGTCAATGCGCTCGTGCCCTTGGGTAAGGCATTAATCCTCATTACCAAGTCCCTCAGAGAGGTCTTAAAGCCTTTGGTCCCCTGGCTGTTTTCTTAAATGCTTTATTAGAGCAGTCAGGTAAAATAATCCTCATCAATCATCAAACATCAAAACAAATCTTACCTTGGGAAAGTGAGTCCCCTCCCAAGAAATAGTTCCTGTGCCTCTGTAGGTAAGACAGCATTCTTGACCTTATCATACTCTTCCCGCCAATCCAACCTAAAAGAGTTAAATATTAAAGAGGAAGAGGAGTAAAACATAGAATGCCTTCACTAGTGTCCTTTGGCAAGACATTAATGCACATATGCCACTCTCCACCCAGGTGTTGTAAATGGGTACTCAGTCAGAAGATATTGCTTGAATTCACTAATACCGCCTTTCAGATCGATAGGCAGTCTATTCATTTTTCATTCTTTAATGGGCATATTGGTCATGTCAGTGGTAGTTGAAGTGGCTATCTTGACAAAGACGATGTCCAAATATGGCATTGTGTAATTTTAAGCATGACTAGCTTAATTTGTCTTCTACATCTTTGTCTTTAATTGTCTTTAATAAGGAGAATTAGCTAAACATACGTCTTAGGCTTCACTGCTTCACATGCTTTCTACTAACTTAGGATGAGATAAGATTTTACATTCAAACCTGCTTTAGTGACCACCTGTCTACAAAGACCACATTTTTTGTTTCCCTTGAAAATGGTTTCCTATTGAAACATGTACTAAAGTAACCTGTACATAAAGTTCACCTGCCCAGAAAGACCACTTCTTGTCTCCCTTGGGCGGTCTTTATAGACAGGTTTCACTGTATCTGCAAATGGATAGAACACTTACTTGTTTGACAAACCATGGGAGTGACCCCCTATGTGAAGGTCACTGTACTTTTGTCTGTGAAGGGGATGGGCCATGCGCCTCTTTTGACCTCTGACATTGAACAGGCGCTCCTTCTCGGCAAGAAACTTCTCAGGCAAACTCTGTCCCCTAAAACAAACAAGTCGCAGAAGATAAGTTGCATTAATGACAGGTTTATGCACACAATTGAGGCTCCTTCAGATATGAAATGACAAAATAGGATATGTTTGACAATGTAAAATATAATACACTTTACATTTCTGTATCTTATAACACAGAGCTCGATGAATACCCACTACCAGTAGTCTTTTGTTGCATGCAGTTGCCATTCATTTACAGGTAAAAAGAAAAGGTGCTGACTTATTTTTGCTTCATCATATCTTAACAAGCCTTTAGGACAGAAAATGTACAACTTCTTTCATTCTTATCATATTTTGATCAGAGAACATATATAGACCACATATTTTGTTAAATGGTCATAATGTAAGTACTATCACAAGTAAAATCTTACTTTCACCATCTACTCCACTGACGCATATTACTCTTTTATTTGTGACCATAGGAATCATTGAAAGCGAATTGATATGGCTCTCTACTTGTTAAGAGGATATGGAATGGATTCTCAAATTCTCTTTCAACTTCCGCTTTTTATATATCTATCACAAAAACTGTCACAAGAGGAGACAATTCATGGGCTATCTGGAGAAACTAAATGCCTATTTAGTCAGCAGTACCTGTGTAGTTCTAGAAGCTTGAATTCTCACTATCAACTAGCATATCTGATTCTTCTAATCATGACCATATAGGAATGGCTGCGTGTGAATAGAAACAACTCTCTGAATGTTGAGAGCTAGGGAATGAAATGGAGTATGTGCACCTCTTCAAATAATTTTTTTTAATACCAAGCCTTCATTATCCAACAAATAAAATGTCCAAAATTATGACAAAAATTCTGGCCTATTCTGATAATTATGGGTCTGTTTCAGCAGAAACTGTGTTTCTAGATGCTTGAATACTTACTCAACAGGTCTATCTGATTCTTCAACTTGTGACCATAGAAATGGTTGCTCAACTTCTCTCTACTTGTTGAGAGGGAATGGAATATCAATCTTCAAAATATATATTCTCTATACCAGAACTTAGTTATCCAACTAAAAAAATGTCTAAAATGGCAGAAATTCAAGCCTATTCAGAGAATTATGGATCTGTTTCAGCAGGAATACTTACTCTTGAGGCTTATCTGATTCTTCGACTTGTGACCATAGAAACGGCTGCGTGTGAATGGGTACGGCTCTCTGCTTGCTGAGAGGGAATGGAATGGATTTGATGGCAAGAGGGGATTGATCTTTCTTCTTCTGGATTGATACAGATTTCATGAGGGTGGAAGACCTAGAAAGAAAAAAAAAGAAATAAGATAAAAAAAAAAGTTATATATTATTTTTTATTTCTTTATCCACTGTTTGTTTTTAATTTGTTTACATGCTATTCAGTAACAGAATAAGTTTTAAAAAAACAAATGATAATTCTATACTTTTAGGGAACTTATTTTACAAGGCCTTTTGGCCTTATTTTGGTTCCCCTTTTCTTATTTTCATTTGGTTAATTTGATCTCTTTGATACTGTTAACATGTATGATTGCATGTATTTTTTGTTAATGTATAATATTGTAATGATTTATTGTTTTTATATGAAGATGGAAATAAATGAACAAATAAAATGATTTCAGTAAATCCTGCAAACAAATTTTCGTATGAAATCGCACAATACGATACAATGGATAAAATGTACATGATACATGAATACCCTTTGTACATGTTACACAAATCATGGTGATCAGCAAAGTTTAATACTTGCAAAACAATTTTTTCTTTATTTGACTTTTATAAGAAGTTAATAGAAAAATACATGATGTCTCCTACAGGTTAAACTTCCAGGATATGGGTAGACCTCTCATATCTCCACTGTTTCACACACTCTTTCTATCTTCTTCTAATTTCTGTAGTGTGCAGCATTATTTTTGTCTTGTTTTGTCCTGTAATTTTTGTTCTGTCTTGTCCTGTCATGTCTTGTTTATCTTGTCATGTTATGAATTGTTTTGTCATGGAAATGACAAAGGAAATGACAAAAATGAAGGAGAATACTACTAAGAAAGAGTATAAAGAAGAACTGGACAGAGTTGAAACTTATGCCGCGATAGAGAATTTGGTCTTCCTCAACATACCAGAAAAGAACCAAAAGGAAGGAATTAAAGAGGGAAATTATGAAAAAGTTTATGATTACAAAATTACAGTTTATAGAACAGGAAGAGGAGAAGATTGAATACCCTGGTATCAGAGAATTCCTCGTGCTCGGACTGGAACATCATCATTACCAAAACAAATAAAAGCCTGTTACCTTCGTTATTTACAAATAACAAGTTACAATTTACTTATTTAGCTTTAATTAATTCTGCCTGTCCTATGTATGTGTGTATGTCTCAGTTAATGCAATGTCTATATTTTACTTTTAATTAATGAAGATTTTACTTTGGGGTTTGTAGAAAAAAGGGAACAGCCTAGATAGGCCAATGGCCTTTCCTGGTCCCTCACATCCCTACTCTACCCATTGATTATTTGTTAGTGTAACTGTTGTTGTTGTATTTGTTCTTATCATATTTTATATACATTGCATTTTATATTATTGTATTTCAATGTTATATTGTTGTAAGTTTTTTATTGGAAGTAAAATTAAATGAACTTGAGCTTGAACTTTAACTTGAACTTAAAGGTAGCGGTTCAACAAAGGGCTAAATTTTTGAAAGGGTTCAAAGATCTATATATCAGACGATCTTTCAAAACGGGTGAGAATGATCAGGCGGAGCCAAGTTACTGCTTTGAAGACATCGAGGAACGCGGGGAAACTTGCTAAATTTTCAAAAGTTGAACCAACAAAGCTCTTCATTGACCATGTTTGGATGCCAAAGAAAGATCAGCCAAGGTTTAATTGTGGAAAAGTTCGTGGAAAAAAAGGGAATTAACACAGAGGACCCGGGACCAGTCCACTCCGGAGATGGCGATAAGAGAGGTGCACAGCTAGGATACACCCGTGGCAGTAAGACCAAAGTCACCCAGGGTACTAGCGATGGAGACGCGGATACCCAGTGACAGTTGACAGACATACAGCAAGCGTCAGTAGGAAATTTTCCAATAATTATCGCTACAGCAAATGAATAATCGTTTGTCACGGAGCAATTCAAAGATTTCTGTGTGCATAAAATAGCAAAACTTTTTAACCAAGCCCCTAGCTTATTAGATAGCATAGGGAAATGTGATACAAAAAGATGCGTCCAGAAAGCAAAACGCAAAATTTTTGAAAATAATAATGTTATCACATTCTTTTAATTTTGTCAGCTCTTTAATTTTTGTTTTTCCTTTTTTTTCATTGCTTTCTACTTTAGTTTGGCTTTTATTGTGAACTCATTACTACTTCATTAGTTTTGGACATTACTTCAATAGTTTTTAGACACAGTCATGGTATATTGCAACCTGAATCGACGATTTTGCCTCCTCTCTTTTGCACTGGTGTGCTGGATATACATAGCATTCGTGCATGTATGTCACTCAACGTACGCGTTGGAGATTGGCGAACTCGCCATGGATCGCACCATGCCCGTCAAACCTGCATCCGTGGATGCGCTTCGTACGCCAACGAGGATCACGTATAGCACTGCGGATCTCTACAAGCTACGAAAGCACAAAGTGAAACCCTCCCCTTCCATGGTTAGAGCAGCAAAAGAAAGTGGTGTTTACAAGGTACGTGGGTGTAGAAGCGGTCGAAAGATATAACGTAATATTCAAGTGCAAATTATATCACGTCACAGACAGTGTTTGAGCCAATCTCACTATCGAAAGTTTCCTTGCAACCTGCATCCAATTCACATAACTAACTCCACTCAATTGCCATTACCAACCATTCTACTCTCCAATGTACGCTCTATGAAGAACAAAATTGATGATTTAAACAGTTCACTGATAGTGAATAAATGTGATATAGCTGTTATCACCGAAACTTGGCTCCAAGATAACATTCCTTCTGGTTCACTAGATATACCAGGCTATGACTTATTTCGTAATGATAGAATTGGACGTGTGGGGGGTGGTGTTGCTGCGTATATTCGTTCTGACATCAAAACTGAAACAATTGAGTTCCTGCATGACCCAGATTTTGAGATTCTTTGGTTAAAATTGACGGTATCACGAAAACACGTTATCTTCATTGCTGTGGTTTATTATCCTCCCCAGTCTGGAAGAGTTTTTGAACAGCGTATAATTGACAAGTTGATTTTCTCATTCGATACTATTAAGACGCAACACCCTAATAGCTACTCGATCATCTTGGGTGACTTCAATGATCTTGATACCTCTCCACTGTGCAACAATCTCCTACTTAAACAAATAGTCACCTTACCGATGAGAGGAGATAACATTCTTGACAAGGTTTTCACAGATTTATTTGACTATTACAATACTCCAATTGTGATTAATCCTATTTCTAACAGTGATCACAAGACAGTGATTGTCAAAGCCTGTGCTTCGATCCCAAAGGAGACTTCCAGAGCAGTCACATTCCGTCCCTTTCGTGAGTCCAGTGTTCGCGCTTTTGGAGATGAGATCACCTCTACCAACTGGAGCCATCTCTTAGAGCATCCTGGTGTCAACGAGATGGCTGCTGATCTTCAAGAATCTCTCTCTGAATTGTATCATCTGCATTTTTCTATCATCTCCATAATTCGCAAGGCAGATGATAAGCCCTGGATCACCAAGCGAATCCTGTCTCTCATCAAAGAAAGGCAAGCAGCCTTTGATTCCAATAACATGGCACGTTATAAGAGCCTTCGCAATCAAGTTAAGCGTGAAGTCCAGGTACGTAAAGCTGCTTTCTATTCCAACAAGGTGAAAGATCTTCGGAAATGTCATCCAAGTAATTGGCATCAACAAATACGCAAGATCACCGGGATGAAAAAGAAGTCTACTGTTCTACCTGGTAGTGAAATGTGCTTATCTGAGCAAGCAAGTTTCATCAATAACCATTTCGCAGGAATTTGTTGTCAATTACCTCCGCTCGAAAGATCTTCTCTACCGGCTTTCTTGCCTGCTTCACATCCTCCTCCCAGCATTGAAGCTTATCAAGTGTATCGTGAACTGTGCAAACTCAAACCATCTAAATCCACACACCATGATGACCTACCCACTAGACTTATCTGTGAATTCGCTCCTGAGATAGCAGGTCCTTTGACTATGGTCTTTAATAAATGTTTAGAAACTGGGAATTTTCCGGATTGTTGGAAGGTTTCAGACATTGTTCCAATCCCTAAGAATACACCATGTAATACTGTTGACCAACTAAGACCAATATCACTCACCCCTACCTTTGCAAAGGTTTTTGAAGCATTTCTCACTAAATGGTTATATCAAGACATTATGAGCAAAATTGATAGTCAACAGTTCGGTAATATGAAAGGATCATCAACCTCTCACTATTTAATAAGTATGATCGATTCGATCTTGAAAGGTCTTGACAAACCTGGTTATGTTGCCTCAGTCTGTACTATTGATTATGCTAAGGCATTTGATCACATCAATCACAATGTGCTGATTGAGAAGTTGTTTGATTTAGGTACTGATCCAAATACTATCCTTCTCTTGTGTAGCTACTTGGAGAACAGATCTCACTGTGTACGTTTAGGATCTACCTTTAGTGGGCCCCTGCCTGTTACATGTGGAGTACCGCAAGGTACAAGGCTCGGTCCCATTCTTTTCCTAATCATGATAAATGATGTTGCAACCTCTACTCCTCTGAGATGGAAATATGTTGATGATTTGAGTGTCGCTGAAATCAGACACAAATCTCAACCCTCCGTATTGCAAGATCATTTATCTTTGATCACCGAGTGTTCTGTTGATAATCAGATGACCCCTATAAGCCTGAGAAGTGTAAAGTATTGCATATCTCTTTCCTTCGGAACCAGATTGTTATGCCCGAAGTTAGCATCAGTGACTCTGTCCTTCAGCCTACTGAGTTTGTTAAGTTATTGGGAGTGCACTTACAGTCTGATATGAAATGGGATAGACAAGTCGAGAATGCTGTCAAACAAGCATCACGACGTTTTTACATCCTTTGTGTTCTTAGAAAACACAAAGCTCCACTAGAGGATTTGGTTGCTATTTATATTATGTATATTAGACCGTTAGTTGAATATGCCTCCCCAGTGTGGTCATCATCTATTACTGCCAATCAGTCGAACAAGATCGAACGAGTCCAAAAAAGATCTTGCCGTATCATTTTGGGATATAATTATGTTGATTACCTTCACGCCCTTCAAGTTTTACAGATTCCATCCCTTGCAGATA